ACTGCACGGGAATGACGGCAGATCAAAGTGGCGATGGTATCGATGGTAGCTGTGTGTCTGCTGTAGAGTGATGCAGTGTTTGCTATACATGTGTAAGATTGAACCTTTTCAATATATAGTGTCGGAGTGCGAGATAAGGCGGAAGACACGATATATCTGAATGCAAGGGTGAGGGGTTCGAACGCGGGCGTCTGCATCCGTTCTTGCGGAGGTAACTTTGGAGAAAATCTCAGCCAGGGTGCTTGAGAGTGGGGGTTGACTGCATGCCTGGGCAAAGGCAGTATGAACAGGAGATTGGAGAAGTATCCCTGCACTGGCAGCGCTGCATCTCTCATTATCTCTAGAATTCGGAATGTTTCCAGGGCACACATATTCTCGCTTCCTCGGGACAAATGTCGTTTCTCTGAAGCCAGGAATAGCTATGTGACCCTCTTCAAAGGTGCACCGTGCTGTCATCTGTGCTATGTATAGTTCAACAAACCACTGCAGCAATGAGCCAGTCTGTTATCAAGCCCTTGTGGAACAGGGAGGATATTGCAGGAAAGGAAAGATAGTTTCTGCAACCCTTGAAAACACTCGAGAAAACGCATGAACTCTGACAGTACGGAGTACCGATGATCTCGGTAGTTAAGTCGTTCAATGTATATCAGCCAGCCATTGTTGAACCTATTACCCGATCAATACTGATATCAAAATGGTATGCAGTCAGATGGAGAACGCTTCGCAGAGTTAGCAAGACAACAATGCCTCCACGCTGACGAACAGGATGCCCTCAGCCAGCCACCAACGTCTCGAAAACGCAAAGCGACGGGTAGCAGACACATGCAACGCCCCCCCTGGCAGTCTGAATTCTAATCAACCCAATCGGCGGAAGTGAATCTGCTTCCCCAACTGGCTTTTGTGGCTCCATTTGTCACTCCAGCAGGTTTCATACGTAGTTCAGTTATGAACACCACGAAATAGATAGGGCCGTGATGGTTGGTATTCGAACCGCCAAGGTCAAGGGGATGAAGCTATCCGTAGTACCTCTAGGAGAGCCGGGTGGAACATATCAGTATCAGGCCGGCTATAAAAGAATTAGACCACTCTATAGATAACCCGATAGCTAACAGTCCACTAGTTGGTAGAGAGAAAATCAAGTATCTAGAATTCGCCATATTCTCTTCAAATATCGTCATATACAATTCCTTTTGAAAAAATTTTCGGCTCTCCCATTGTCCAAGAAGGAGGACAAAGAAGAAATCGGCGTAACACCCCGGAAGATGCCACCAGTGGCCGATTTGACCGTTGATAACAGCGCCGAAGCTGTGGCGAAGGCCAAATGGGAGCGTCATACATCGATAAACGCGAAGACGGCGCCACACAGCCTGTTTCGTGAGGACAGATGGTTCACCGGAAAGGCGCCACAGCCAGGGGTCTGTCCCGGAGTAAATGAGGCTGGAGTAATCTCAAAACTCCCGCTGCCCAACTTGGCGACAACTGGCCGAGCTGAGATGCAGCAGTATTTTGATAATACATGGACTTTATATGAAACGCTGTTCGCCGGCCTGCGTACGAGGTCAGCCTTCTATCGCCAGCCGGACCATAAGTTGCGCCATCCGCTCATCTTCTACTACGGTCATACCGCCGCCGTATACATCAACAAGCTAAGAGTTGCTGGACTGGTTGACAGCCCCGTCAACACCCACTTCGAAGCCCTGCTGGAGGTTGGCGTGGACGAGAACTCCTGGGATGACCTGTCGACCGACGAGACCGAGTGGCCGGAGCTCGATGAAGTACACGCCTACAGGGCCAAGGTGTACACCGTTGTTAGTGATGTTATCGCCAACACTGAGTTTGGTGCTGAAATGGGGCGACCCGTCAATATGAATGACAAAGCCTGGGCAATTGTCCTCGCTCTTGAACACGATGGAATCCACCTGGATACTAGCTCAGTGCTCATTCGAGAGTCTCCTGTCGATCTGCTCTCTCGACATCCAGCTTGGCCTGCACCATCGACTTCTGCTCGTACTTCTCAGGAGGAGAGGTTGGTGCCAGATAACGACATGGTCAGCGTTCCCGCTGGTGAGGTTGTTATGGGGAAGCCAAACGATTTCCCTTCATTTGGATGGGACAACGAGTACGGCCATAAGCGTGTCGAGGTGAGCGCCTTCGAAGCAAGCAGATACCTGATTAGCAACGGAGAGTTCTACGACTTTGTTGCCGATGGTGGCTACCGCGAGCAGCTGTACTGGTCCGAGAGTGGATGGGGACAGCGACGTCTGAATAACACTAAACACCCGCGCTTTTGGGTTCGGGACGGCCCGGCCGGGCTCCACACTTATCGCCTGCGCACCATCTTTGATGAAGTGACGATGCCCTGGGACTGGCCAGTCTGTGTCAACTACCATGAAGCCAAAGCATACTGCACCTGGCGTAGCAAGCGCAGTGGTCGATCATACAGGCTCATCTCTGAAGTCGAACATCACCGCATGCGAGACCCCTTGCCAGAGAAACCAGGTCCTCAGGACGACCCTGTTATGTGCATGGACGGTCACGCACTTGCACAAAAGGGCGTCAATCTTAATCTGGCCTTTGGATCCGAGACTCCAACGGATGCCTCCCCGCCCACAGCAATGGGGCTCGGAGATGTCTTTGGTAACGTCTGGCAGTGGTGCGAAGACGCCTTTGCCCCACTGCCTGGATTTGCCGTGCACCCTTACTACGAGGATTTCAGCACCCCCTTTTATGGGGGTGAGCATCAACTGCTTCTTGGTGGTGCTTTTGCCGCTACGGGCGATGAGGCCAGTATCTGGGGTAGGATCCCTTTTAGACCTCACTTCCTACAGCACTCTGGTATCAGACTTGCTCTCTCTGCAGGAAGCAAGATTGAAAAGCCAAAAGCCATCAAGCAAGATGAAGCTGTCGCTGAAGTTGACGTTGATGCCAATACCCGCCGCGAGCTGAACCAACGCATGCTCTTGCATTATGGCTCTATGGCTGAGACACTTGGTCCTGCAGTGTTAGACACCGCCGGACTCAGTCTATGCCATAACTATGTGCACCGTGTAGTTGAGCTCCTCGTGGATACAGCGCGCGCCCAAGGCCTACAACTTCAGTCTGCGCTTGATGTAAGATGCGCTGTTGGTGGTACGACTTTTGGGCTAAGCAAGTACTTCAACACCGTGGTTGGAGTTGACTCGAACCAGGCCTTCATTACCGCAGCAAGTACCATGGCCCGGTCAGGAAGCAGGATGTATGAGCGACGTGACAATGGTGGACGTATGACAAACTTGTGTGCTCGACTTGATACAGCGGCACACCCTGAGAGAGTCACTTTCCAGACAGCCGACGTTTGTTCTCTTCCATCCGAGCTTACCGGCTTCGATGCGGTGTTGTTGGCTGACGCTTCACCAAGCCCCTTGTCTGACCCAGATGCTTTCATAGAGCGTATGACAGGACCACATTCCATAGTCCGGCCCGGAGGACTAGTACTTCTTTCAGATGAGATTTTGAATAGCCCAACATTGTCCGAGTCACACACACACAGCTCCTCTAATGGCAAGAAATTACCGGCCGAGTACGAGCTGCTTCGCGTCTGTGATCTTTCAATACTACTTCGAGAAAATGACCGTCATTTCCAGCACATTATACCTCGAATCAGCATTTGGCAACGCAGCATGACAGCAGCGATCTAGAATTTATATCTAGAATCTGCATCAAATTCATCAGAGATATACTTATCATTGCTTCATTCATTTATAGTTCATTTTGTCTTTGTTTAGGTATTTCTTACTTTCTATCGAGTAATAATTTAAGTGCTATTTATTGGATAAATATAAAATTTACTCTGTTGTCAATATTTAGAAAAGGGGTTATTCCTTGGGCGTGGTTGTTAATTACCACGCACCAAGCATTTTTGTATCATATAATCAGTTTAAGCGTAACTACCAAAAACACAACACCAGAGTACACATCCCAAGTCTTTGATAGAAACTTAATCAATATATAGTTGTTCCAGAAGGAGGCTATTTCGACTAAGTCCTATGTCCCCTAGAATACGTAAGTAGAGACATTCCTAGTGCATCCAGGAAACGCTTCACTTCTTTTCCCACAACCCCTCTCTGTAATATAATTGATGATTGTCTCTATGGACGGCCTGGCCTTTAACTTGTGGCTTTGCTCAAAGCCCAGCGTGCATATAAATCAAGGATAGATACCTAATATAGCTCAGATTGATGGTTGGAATATTATGAAAATAGGGAGTTTTATTCTCGAATGGTTAAACGGCATTCCCCAATTGATTATCAAAACACAAGAGTATAAAAATGCAAAAGAAGACAATTTAGTATAAGTATATTCACAACAAGTGACAAGTGACATCTACTTATTCTTATCGAAAAAGAAGTTGCAAAACGTAGAACTATCTGGAGCTTACTAAAGCATATCCTAAACATTTCAGGTGTTCGAGGATGGCTTAACAGTGTCCGTGATCTAACCAAAGTGCACAATCAAAGGCACCTTGCGCCAATTATCTGTTGGTTCTCAATTGGGACGACAATAGCTACATCGGTATTTCTCCACTCTTCTTAGCAAATAAAGCTCTAAAATTGCGTTGGTTAGTTCAGAGGTGAAAGGCAGGCATACAGTTGATAAAATAAATGAGCACGACATAACATGACCTTAAATGTAATCACTCACAAAGCCAGTCAGGGGTATCTAAGAATAATTAATATGTTAGACAGACATTAAAAACACCTCCATTTCACACACAGAGACTGTATCAACTCCTCCTAAGCTCCTTAATGCGCTTGGGCACGTATTTATTTCTGTGACTCCTCTCTTTCAAATAACGGTTTAACAGCTTTGCAATCGGTTTGATGTTTGGGCACTTGCTAGTTTCGCCTATAGGCGTGCTCAAAGCCCAACGAGCAAGTAAGTCGAATTTAGATCGCTCAAAGGTGTCGAAGTTAATGAACGGAGTACAGTTGAAGCAAAGAGTTCCGTTTTCAAAGTATACTTCATTCATACGAACTTGTCGGTTGAAGCAAGAAACCATCAGAATCTGTGGTGTGGTTGGTTAGCCTAGAGCTGTATGTAAGAAGATGGTAGTGTACAAGGGCGTGACATACCGGGTATACATCATTGGTAACATACAAAGGGCACTTCAATCTTTCCTTCATAAGATCAGCAGCAACAAGCACTTCACTACGGGCAATCTTCAAGTTTGCATCCTCATCAGGGTATAAACCATGAACTGATAGAGAAATAACATGGGGTTGAAGATAAGTGCCCCGTACGTGCCTGTCGAAGGCTCTCTCAAAACGCCAGTCGGTGGGTTCACTTCCAGGCCCAGTGCTGCCCCAATGTCCGCCATACAGTGTGCGTTCAAGGCTAATGGGCAAACGTCAAAATATCAATAACCATATTGAGTATAATAAAAAGGATAACCAGTCACTCACAATGCAAAGTCCCAATCCGCATAGTCAGTCAGTACCCGGTGACATCCCCACTCATCCGTTGGGGTATTAGGGATTTCCCCTGCTATGAAGCCTTCCAGCTTAACCAGGATATGGGATGCATCATGTATTTCATCATCAGTGGATACCCATTCATTATCCCAATCCCATCCATCCTCTTCATAGTATTCTTCAAGTCGAGGCAAACTCTCAAAAACCGATTGTGACATCGGCTTAAAAAACCGCCCACCTTTCTCTAGATCCATCGTCTCCTTGCGTATACCATATTTAAGCAATTTGTCCTCCAGTAAGTAGATGTGTTCCTGATTGAGGGCCGGTTTGAGGACCTTGATGATGGTATGGAGTTTGGTCGAGACCTGGTTCTTATGGCCAAGCAGCGTGTCTAGAATCTCAGCGTTCAGCTCTGTATGGTTCTCCATGGTAGTTCGCTTGTAAGCTGTATGTTCTGATCCGACAACGATATTGTTGATGGCAAGTTCACAAACACTTGCACGCGTTGTAAACAGGCACCAGTGGGGACTCAGGATAATAGATAATCCGGAAACTGTCCCAAAATTGGAAGGCGCATTGGGTTGGTTGGCAGCTTACTCATCATGCCAAGCCGAGTTAAGCGCCGAGCCTCAAAACCTTGAGGCAAACGTGTTGCAACGCCTGGTCTAAGTTTAGGATACAGCCCAGATATGCCATTTCTAGTATCTTAGAAATATTATACCTTAGCGCCTGCTCCACTCCCAACAAATAATATATATTTTAGTGACCAGACTGAAACTTGCTATGCATGAAGTTGTCAAGTTCTCTATTTATATCATTCTACAGGTGTTGAGCGCTTACATCTGAATCGAATGAACTACACTAATTGGCTATATGGTTATTGACCATTAGCGCCATGCCACCAATGCTCCACAACAAAGCACATTCACTGTTGGTTTGCAGTGAGCTGGGCGCCCCTCTCCTAGCTCTCCAATGAGAGCCAAACCTGGCCCCCCATTGCTGCCATGGAACAACACGTACAAGTTCCTTGTCAAGGATAGGGGCGCGTAAGTCCCTTAAAATAGCCACACAATATATCCAGTGAACAATATTTAAAGAGCAGTATATTGCTTTGAAGAGATGTTTATTTTACCATCCAACTTTCTGTTCTCATTCCATATTTTCTGGGCTATTCACCTTCCCCCTCACCAGACTTGTGTCAAATAGTAAACCTGCTGGGCACTTGTGTGGGCTCACTCTTTCGGCTCAGTCCTTTCGGCGATTTGTCACCAAAGCGAGGGTTTGTATACCATGGCAAGCGAGATTGTTAATTTCCCTGTGGACAGACCGTCATGGATCAAAATGGTCAAAGACAATAGCCTTGGAGAAGCCAATATCTATTCCACGCCCTGCGGATCTGGATCAAAAGTCAATATATCGCAATACCTCCTGCTTCGAAGTGTCTGGCTCCAACACCCTAAGACCAAAGATAAGGATGTCGAGAAATGGGGAATTAAGGGGTTCAAACAAGCGGAAAAATGGCTTGGGAATAACGACGACTGGTCAACATATCTCGAAAACCTTTCGCAAATCACCAACTATACTGGTCCACCTCGCGGTCTAGGAACATTTTCATATGTTTGGTTTACCCATCACCAAGTAATCAGCCTACCAAAGCAATACGAACAAGTTGAGGACCGGGACAAAAATGTTTCGTATAGCCCAATCTCCAGCAGACTCCGATCCGCAGCCCACAAGACCAACTTGCATGGCAGAGAGGAATCGCCAACCCCGCTGGGGAAAAAGGGATATCAGACACCCCCTGATCAGATCACCGGATATGGAAGCTATTCTCCTTCGGAGGGGTTAGCCGAGGGTGTCCGCAACATGACGGTTCATGAAAACTCCAAAAAAAGCCCATCAGATATTTCAAACAGTGATGCCAGTTTGAGCCCTGCTTCGGCCCGCAGAGCATTCCCAAAGGTGGAGGATGAACAAATCGTCAACGGCTACCTCATTGCACTCCTAGCCTCCATTTGCATGTATCATCCCGATGTTAGTCTCCACTGGTCACCAGTTCGAAAGTCGTTCCGATTTGGGAAGAGAGATGTAGAACCAAACAGCGGGGATAGGCCATATCTCTTCGAAGCTAGAACAGACGGACATCTCGCTTCACGAGATCCTGGGTCCAACGATGAAAAGCCATCTGCCGTTATTGTGGAAGTTAAACCCACCAACAGACGATACAACAACAGGGTCATCTACCAGGCAACCTCCCAGATGGTATCTTGGATATATCAGGAGCCAGATGCACCAGGCGCCAAAAAGCAGTACTGGTAAGTGATGTCTATTTAACACCAGCGCGTATATGGCTAACCTAACACTTATGAGTACTTAGTCGACCTATGATAATTCAAGAACGGGAACAAATAAGACTTGTCATTGCAACTTATGACCAAGAATACATCGATTACTTATATAATAAACCGCCCAGTGGATCGAAAATCCCATTAATGACCATGAATGAGCTATTTACATGGGACATCACGAAGCAGCATCACATGGAAGTATGCGGCCCTGTGCTCTTAGCTCTTGCGCTGCAAAATGGTAAATTAGAGAACTGATCTCTCAATTGCCTACCAACGTACGGGGTCCCTGCAAGATGAGGCAATGGTACATGCGAATGAAAATTAGGGGGCGAAAGAAGGGGTTAGTTGATGTATCGATGGAAAGTCGTGGGGTCCTATGAGCTTTGTTGATTATGGTTTGTTTATTTGTTTTGGGCTTCGTTTTTCCTTTTCCATATATTTTGTTAGGTTTATTTTGATCCTTATTCTATTAAATTAAAGGCGTTGGTTGGCTTTTGCTCTCACGGTTCCAGGCATATATTTAGCCCTTCACTTGACATGTTTGATCACTGTCAATGGATTAGGGAAAGAAAGACGACGGTTAAAATAAAAGATTAAAACTTATCATAACCTCGGTTATCAATAGTCTGAGAATGAAATATGTAACTGTGAGTGGTAATAGATTTATCACAAGTAGTTAAGTTGGCAATCTCAGGAATAAACCAGATGGGTAAGAGAAAAAGAAAAAGGAGGACAGACGCCGAAAGAACGCCATTAACACAGCCGGATGACAATGTTGTTGAGGTCACGAAAGATATTTAACAAAGGTAACCTTGGCCTAAAGAACCGAAAGTGAGGCCGCCGGGGTATCGAGGGCCATATTAAAAGGGGTTTAGAGTGCAGTAAATGTATAAAAATCATTCACTATGCAGTAATTTAGTTTTGGCTACATATTGGGGAATCGAGAAGAGGGAGACTTACTCTATGCTGCGCTGGACCGAGCGTCTTAGCATGCGATTGTATTTTTTCTTGTCTTCTGCGGAGCCCCAGAAGAGCTTGGAGCATTCAGGGTTGACAGTTGCTCGCGGGTCATAAGGTGGAGACTCATCCTCTAATGCCTCAACAATGGCTTCAACGTGTGCCTTCATATCCTCCAGTTTCTTCGGGAAATAGCAGAGAATGCCATCTTTTGAGATACGATGGTGGAATAGAGGGGTTTGAACAATCACTCGAGGCTGCTCATCTGGGAAATTAGGACTGAGGGCAATCTTAATTCTAAAGATACCACCATCAAGATGGGTCATGGGCCGCCCAAAGTAAGTCAACATCCAGACAAGAGGATTTCCCTCGTCAAGGGATATATCGATAGTGAAATGTCGTTTATTTTTTAGGTCCTCGACAATTTGTTCATACTGCCGTTGCAGGTTGACGGCAATTCTTGTTTCGTTCTTTATAGCTTTCCGACCCATTTCTGCCCAAGAATCTGTTTCTTTCATGATGGCGTTCTTGATTGCATCTAGTCTTTTGGTCAGCTCGGTATAGTTGAAATGCCCGTCCATTGTATTGCCGGTGAATTCGAACTGCATTCTCTGGAAGCGTGAGCCAACAGGGCACTTTGTCTCAGCCTCAGCCATTGTGTTCTTATAAGTCTCATAGTACCAGAGGAAGCGACGTTTGCATAGATCTTTAAACGGCTCAAACGGGGGCTGGGAATATTCATCCTCAAACATTTCCTCGTCCTCTGTAATTTCATCAGTGGGCGGCATAATTGTACCATCAGGCAGGATGCCAAGCCAATCCTCCAGGCGCTGAATCACCGATATTCTGATATTCTCATGTCGGATCTGGAGGCTGTCAGAATCATGGAGTAACAGATATGATTAAAAGAGTGGTATAACCTTGGCAATATAATTATCCATTGCTTTGAGATCAGTGGGAGATTTGGAGTTTTCGAATCCGGGTTCGTTTTCATATGGGTTTGCAGACATCAAGCTCTGAATGGAGATCAAGATGGACTCTAGGCCCTGAGCTGACGACCACTGCTCCCCACTACTTCCCTCCCATGTCCTGAAAACATTGTTAATGTACATATACTTCTTTATAAGAGAATCGATTAAAACTTACCCTAGAATAGACCTATATCGAAGTAGTGTGTCAGAAATTATCCATCTCATTTGACTTGCAGTATCAGAACTTACACGCAAACCTTGCCTGAGGCATAAATATTGGGGTTGAAACGGCATCTTCCGCCGTTGGTAGTCATAGCCTGAACATGTGGAGGTTGGGCAGGATAGTCTGGTTAAATTATGGAATATGAGCATCTGCTTGCATTAGGCGTCTCATGGGTATATTTGAAAAACATCCTGACCTTCAGTAAACTTGATAGAGAACTGTTGAACGCGGTTAGCAAGAACCACAGTCCTGGAAGAAATGACTACAAGCATACCTCGAAGAAGCCAAATTCATAGGGAGTTCCAGGCGGCCCAACTATGAGAGCCTTGACGTTACGAATGTCTGCTTCCTGGCAAGCCACGGCAAGTGCTAAGATAGAATCCCTGAGTAACTGGCAAAAGGAAAAAGGGGGCCCTTAGAAGACCTGGGGTCCTTGACTTACAGAGGTCAGCTCCCTGCTGGATCTGACTGATCTCCTATATATTTCGCCGAAACATCAGCGACTCGTCTCGTCCTGGGCCTCCCAGGCTACCAAGGTAGAGAGACTTACCCTTCCGATACGAAGAAGCGCCTGGTTCGACATGGTTGCTCAAATCGCTGGCGACTATCAAGCTGTAGCGTGTTGTGTCTCTTTTTCTCTCTGTCTGCTCCTCTTTATATGAATTACCAGATTTGCCAACTCAGCAGGTCTGATGAAACATCCAAGCTCCTCTAGAGATCATTATAGGCTTATGACAGGGAAAGCTATCATATAGGACCAGGAGCAGAGCTGAGAAGACGCTGTTCTGGGGTGAGAGGACAAGCCCAGCTAAGATGAGGTTGGCCTGGAGCTGTTGTTGCTGTTAAGGCGCAGGAGGAAACTGCAGAAAAAGTTCAGCTTCAGCCTGCTCGCACAAATCAGGGCCACCACCACAAACAAACGGAGGCGATAACGAGACTGTAGGCGAGAGCAGAGCAAACAGAGCAAAAGGGACAAAAGGGCCTCGGATACGAAGAGCCACGAGAGTCGAGGGAGACTGCGTATCGGCCTGACTCGCGCAGCAGCCGACGAGAGGGACGAAGCTCAGCGTTTTATACACGGTTCGTTCCCCTTGACGGGCTGGATACTGCTCTCTAACACGGCTCTCGTACAGGTACAGGTGGATACATACAAGCTCGTTAGCTATATTGCGGCAGTGGCAGCAGCAGCATCAGGCGATCAGGATTTCTAAGGGACCAGCTGGTGGGCCGGGAGGAGCAGACGAAGCAGACGCGGAGACAAAAACACCCATACAGCGGCTTTGCTCCCTGGAGTCGCAGCTTGCTTGGATCCTTAACTAGCGTCCCCGCCCATTCAGGTTTAGTGTACAAGGGAGTGTGGTTCAATTATGACAGATACTATTTGATTAAACGGCTGTCTACTCCGGGTTCCTCTCCGCGGTCTGGCTGCTTGCCATGGTTACAATCTACGGGATGTGGTCGACAGCAAGCATCGACATCACCATCAGCAACCATCACGAGAAAGCTTCCCGCCAGATGAACTCGGCGACCCCATACTTTAGCTATATTCCACGATGTTAGCGGAAGTTTGCTTTATCGATAAGGCCCGGGTTGCATGAAATCTGGTCGATGTTGATGCGATGCAAGATGCAAGATGCAGCATGATGTGATGGAAGAGGGAGGCCAGAGCCATGTCTTCTCCTCTTTCCAGGCTTCCGCTGCTGCTGCTGCTTCTTCTTCTTCTCCATAAGGAGGGGGGAAACCCCCTGCAGAAGCATGATAAATCGTGCCTGCAGCCTATCTACCTCCTCTTTTGCCTGCCGTCCGCTCCTTGCAAGGGCTGAAAGTCTTGCCTCTGACTGCGCCGCAATGCACGAATTGAGCCTCACGCTCCTCCGTGATGCGCCCTCCAGAGTTGCCGGGATTATCCTGGTGCGGATGTTAAAGATGCATGAGATGCCTCGACTTCTCTTGGGCATTCCTGTCACTCGGTTTTTTGGAGCACTCCCTGCCAATCGTCGTGGCCCCTTTTGCCTGCCCATGAAACGCTCTCCCTACGCCTGCCTCACTGGCTCTCCAGCGTACTCTGTAGAAACTAAACCTCTCCTTCGCCTTAGCAGAGTTCTATTATTAATCTGGCAATCGAGGGGGATGTGCAAAGAAATATCATGCAAACAGACGTCGCCGTCAATATATTGATGTCGAAATGTTTATGGGGTATTTTATGGTGTAATATTCAATACGATAACGTGTCACGTTCTCCACCAATCGTCGTATAATCGTGTAATGGCGTTACAATACTTACGATATCGACTTCCTCCGTCAGAAAAGACGAAGAATCGCAACAAGAGCAAAAGCCGACAAGACGACGCGAAGAGCAGACAGCAGCTGACAGAGGGGCGACAGAGTCCCGGGATCGACGATTATACTTGGGCGGAGCTATAGCAGGGAAATAGTAACCATAATGGGAGCAGACTGAACGCAATGTGAGTTGGCCTTCGTATGCAGACAGCTCAACAGATGAGGCTGCGGCGCATCCGCATGGACTAACTGCTGGCACCAGGGTTGTCTATTCCCTCGTCATCATCAACAAGGCTGGAGGCCTGATCTACCAGCGGGACTTTCAGGCTGGCCTCCAGAAGCTCTCGACAAACGACTATCTCGTCTTCGCAGGCACCTTTCATGGGTACGCAAACGACCTACCCCAACAGCAACAGCAGCAGCAGCATGCTCCAATATCCGGATTTCCAAGCTGACCAGTATCGATTGATCTGATTGCTGATATAAACAGCGTCCATGCCATCACCCGCTCCCTTACGCCTGTGTTCCCTTACTCCGCCCCCGCTACGTCCAATACCTCAGCATCCACGATACCCATGACCTCCACACTACCTAATCCCGGCCTTCCAAAGACAGGCCTAGAAGTCCTCGAGACGGAACGATTTAGATTGACGTGTTTTCAAACTGTGACAGGGACCAAGTTCTTGCTCTTCACTGATCCGCTTATGCCGAATGTGGACAGTGTGATTGCCAAGATATACGAGCTGTATGCAGACTACGTGATGAAGAATCCCTTCTATCAGCTGGAGATGCCGGTGAGATGCGAGTCATTTGACAGGCATCTAGCGACGTGGCTGAGGGGAAGATAGCATCTAAAGTTTTGACGGAGGAAGACTGTGAACATAGACTCTACGCAACAGATCCCCTTTTTTAAAAAAAGATACGACTTAATGAATAATCCAGAGATATTGATAATAGGGCTTTGCAGATGATATATGTATGTACTGGCATGTATATGTCTGGGGGTACTGTCACTTCCGAGGCCAATCTCAAGTAGAATACATTGATCTACGAACGCCAGGAATGCCATCGAGCGTCACTAGTCTAGAATAATCCACGCTGTCCATATATCTCTTCCCATCATAACGTTACTTCAATCGACATGCCGTCACGACGTATCCATCTTATCTCCGTCACCTTGTTTCTTATCATTATCTTTCTTCCCGCTTCCGCTGCCACTGGCCTCCCCGCCCTCTTCCGGAATCTTATCCATGGACTCCTTGGCCTGTTTTTCCTTCTCCTGCTTCTCCTTCTCTAATCTTGCTTTTTCTTCCTCCAAAGACATGCGTAGAGCAAATGCCAACTCAGGATCGGCAGAGGGGTCAATTCCAAAGTCAAATGAGCCGCCGCCAACATCCTCTCCTCCCTCCATATGCGATGCCATACCGCGTCCTCCAAGGATCGGGGTTGGGAGAATCGAGTCACTGAGGAGGTTAGGGCCGGGAGGTATGATGACCAGATTTGATCCATTTCCGCTGTTGACAGCCTCGTGGAAGGCTTCTAGTTTCTTCGTCGTCTCTGAATCAAGCTCGCCAAAAGCAATAAAGTCAATGCTAACATTGTTCTTCTTCATCTTCAACGCTAGCTTGACAAACGACTTTTCGTCTTCAACAACCGGGGAGCAGGAAAAGACGATAATCCGCTGTCTCTGAGCCTTTTCTTTTCGGTGTTTAAGTGCTAGCTACACCCAGACGCAAACAGCAACAGTTAGCTTGACTTGTGTATGATGAACACGTCATAGTTCAAATACACTTACGTAGGCAACTTGTATGCTGGAGGCCAGATGTGAAGTTCCGCCAATCTTCGTCCGGTGAAGACCTTCTAGGATCTTGCCAATATCTTCAGTCAGGGTAACCAGGACCTCTGGGCCGTTGCCACCCATGCTCATCAGCCCAACAGCCGACTGTGGGTGAGCTTGTGTCTTTACGGAGTGAACCAAGTTCACAGCATCTGCTTGAGCCTCGAATCTTGTGGGGCTATCGTCCTGTTAGTAGCTGTAGGTATGGATTGTAGGCGTTTTCACTGTTCCATGGTAACGTACAGGTAGTCGCCATTTCTGCTGCTTTCACTATTATCGATACTATTTCATACTTCGTTAGCATGATACCGTCCATAAACACCGAACCGGGGGAGACGAACATGATCATAGTGGCTTCGAGCGACATGGCGGCGGCTGTGAGAGATGTATCTAGCTTTTATAACGCAAAATAGAGGCAAGACAGAAGCTTCACGGGGTGTTAAGAGAGACAAGAGATGGCGTGTATATGTGTATAGCTAGTCGTAGCAGAGAAAGGCTTGCTGGTGTCGGCGTCGTTGTCGTTGCTGAAGCGAAGGAAAGTGAAGCTTCAAGGTTGCTGCGGAGCTCTCAATCGGGACTAGCGCCGTAATGTTTATGTAATCACGTTTGTTTACATCGCGACGGCTCGCCTTTTCCTGTTTATTTCAATATCAACATCGAACAGTTGGACCGCAACTCACACCACGACGAGCTTTGAGCATTGAGATAACTAGACACTACACACAATTAAATTAAAAGAAGGATAGCAACACTGCTCTGATTATAGTCAGTCCAGGACCTCACCACTACAATGTCGACCGCCGTCTCGAGAAAACGAAAGTCGCCTGAGCCAAGCAACCATTATGATGAAGCCCTTACTCCCACGAGGAGCCCATCGAAGAAGAGGCTCAGGATCACCCAGAAGCAGAAGCAGGCCCTGATGGACAACTTGCAGCTAGAAAGTGGGATTCCCATGGCGTGGACCAGTGTTGGCCCAGTATATAGCTAACCGCGGCTTCTAGTTACTGAGCGAGCGCGAAAACTACGCGCGCACTACGCCCTCCAGGCGCAAGATTTACGAGCGAGAATTGAACGGCGTATTAATCGAATCCCCATGGCGCTTCGTAAACAAAACTTGGGCGAACTGCTAGCCAAGTATTCGGAAGCTACCAAAGAGACATCGGACAACAGGTCTCCATTCAAGAAACCGAGCTTGCCCTCTAAATCTGCAAAGACGGTGCGCCCTGTAACGCAAGCACCAGCAAACTCTGCCGCAGCGCAGCGTACTGGAGCCTCACGACAAAGGTAAATTAACTCCTTTACCCCTTGGTTAAGGACAGATTCTAACTAAATATTACAGTCATGGCTCTTCTGATAAGGAAAATGCTGGATACCCTGATCTTTCAAATCATCCCCTCACAAATCCAAAGCAGCGGGGCAGGCCAACCATGCCAGCTTCTTCATCCCGCAATGTATCCCAACGCACAGAGTCTAACATCCTATCACCAAAGTCCTCGAATTCCAGGACCTTTCCACAATCACCTTTGAAGATGTCACCTACCAAGACACAGCAGCAAGAACCCTATCATATCCGTGCCTTCTCCCCCATCAAGCACACAAGCCCTACAAAACACATGAATTATGCTGCTACTCCCGCTACCCCTAAGCTTAGGACCATGAGGGGCGCAGCCGGGGTTCGCCGAGTAACCCCGCCCGACAACAGCTCTGACTCTGTACCTGGAAGAGTCATCAGGCCAAAGAAGGCCATGTCTGTCAAATCGGCGCCAGCTGGCACAAGAAAGCCCCCCGCAAGGACAGCTACACGCCAAACCAACCGGCAAGTCAGTACCAGCACCACATCATCAAATGCCTCAGCAGCAACTTCTGGAACGACAATTGTACGCTCGGCGAGAACTGCCGCTACCAAGAAGGCTGAGGCTTCTAGCGCATCATCAAAGAAGCCGCCGACTTCTAGAAGCCGGGCTGCCACCACGGCTACTTCAGCAACTGCTTCAACTGCCCGAAAAATGACTGTTGCTGCTGCTAGAAAGGGCCAAGGAGTTGAACAGCCCGCTCCTGGGAGGAGAGTCCTTCGAAGCAGGGTCTAGAGGCACCTACATTAGCTACAGGTTCTTGGTAATCGCTTTTCGATTCGTCATATTCGGTGATTCAACTTGATATTTTCAAGCCTTAAGCGTTTTATAATGATATTTGAAACTTCGGTGGCTATTGAGATTGGTTTGTTAAGGATGGCTGGCATATTTAGGAGTTAGGAGTATAAATAATGTTTACTTCCCTCAGACTCAACAGAACTAGGGAATTCTTCGCATTTTATAAAGGCATATAAAAAGCGTCTAGCGTTCTAAGCAAACGCGTTGCTTCTCCTAGAAGTGAATAATACATAAATTGCACCACAGGGATGAGGAAAAGGGGGTAGAAGCTAAAGAAAACACGTATTTACGGGGTAATTGCCATCACCATGTATGTCTCTAGCTAAGTGGCGCCTACCGGGTATTGAAAAACAAGCAAGATGCGGCATAATTTTTTGTATCGAGGAATGAAGAAAGCAACAAAAAGATTTAGTAACCACTGGTATACGTCCACAGCGAGCAAAAGCAGCAAGCAATCATGTAGCAAAGAAGACGAAGACGGGACAGGCTAATGTATATTGAGACGTCAGGAACGCAAAGGGAAAAAAAAGTGTAAAAAATGCAGAGAGAGAGGGAAGAAGGTAGTGTGTGGGATTGGCGTAGAAGTTAAAAGTCAATTAAAGGGGGAAAGATGGGGGGGGGGGGGGGGAAGAGAAGGCAAGAAACTAGCAGAAAAACAGGGGGAATCAATAGTAATCAGTCAATAAAAGAAGAGAAGAAGAAAGGTCGAAAAGAAGGTGAAGAAATTAAAGGGGGAACTTGTTTGTCATAACTATGAAGGTATTTGCAGAAGTAGGGCATTGGGGAATTGAGGTACGTTGTCAAATGGATATGCATGAAGAAGAGGCCGGGTTGGAGGGAGGTAGAGAAGGAAATTAGAATCACACAGATTGAGTAAAGGGGGTAAGAGAGGGCGGGGCCTCCGTAGAAGGGAAGAGAAGAGAAATGGGAATCAAAAGGTAAAGGTAAAAGGGGTATGTGGGTATACTTGTCAGACCAAATGGCATCCAAGATACAATGTCCGCTGCATTTCAAGAAAGGATTTTTTTCATCGTTTTAGATTTGCAAGTGAAGGTGAAAGGGTCGAGAAAAAGGTGAAATAAGGAGGTCAAGAAAAAAAAAAAAGTGTGAGAAAAAGAAGGGAGAGAATCAAAGTAAGAGAGGGGAAAACGAAGAAGATTCAACCAATACCAGACCGTTTGTTCCGTGTAGAGTAAAGACAAGGGAAAGAAAGGGAAAAAAAAGGAAAAGGCCAATAACAAAAGAGAAGCAAATCCCCAATGAACCAAGTTTTGAGCACCAAGTGAACCGCGCCGTAGATTGTTGCCCGGTCCGGTGGAATGCAAATAGGGTAGATTCAGACGCCATATGCGAATATGCAAGAAGCAGGTCAAGGTCGTCTCATGATTTTTTTTAATCTCTTCCTTCCTCTGGAATTAGTTAAACGTGTAGAAAACATCACTTAGATGGCAGGAGGGCGGCCACGGTATGCCATTGGTGGTTGTGTCAGGTGTTGCTGGTGTTGGGGTTTTTGTGGTGGAACTCCGCTGTATGCCTGGCCCTGGCCCTGACCATGTCCTTGGTTGCTGTCGCCGGTATTAGTTCGGATTGGTTGTGGAGGGAAGGGAGCGTTATGATCCTGAGGCCCGTGGACATGCCTCACAGAACTCTGCATCTGCCATGCTGTAGCTTGAGACGGATCGGTGTCAATACGCGCGGCAATAGGAGAGTTATTTCCTTTCGAAGAGCCAGAACGCACAGGAATGGTTTCTGCGATTGTCGGGGCTCTCTGGGGTACAGGAAGTTTGCCCAAGGCCCCATAACGCTTGAGGATTTCTTTGGTAGTGATTTCCGCACTGCCGTTGAAGAGCGTCGAATCGGTTAGGATAGACAGAAGGTCTTCCGGAACCTATTGTAATGGTCACGTTAGCATGATAATCTGGTGATATGGTTGGGATATGACGCGGTACGTACCTCACACATGGTATCATTATTTTCAATTAAGGAGGTGACAGCTTCAATAGCCAAGAAACTGTCGTCAACACCAGCAACCTTTGCATTAGAGTAGAGTATATTCGGGGTCATAACAGTAGCAAGATTATGAATATCCATCTTGCTACCCGTCTCATCATCAACATGGCAGAACGAAGAAGCCCAGTTAAGGAATGAAAACAATACTTCCATAGTGTCTCTGTGTGACTTTGGAAGCAAACAACAAGTCAGATGAAGAACTCGCTTGCGCTTTACTGGATCGGCGATTTCTACAGTTATTTTATATTAGCCATTACGACTTTCCGGTTAAAAAGTGGCATTGGACGAAAATGAGCTTACTTTGTGCAATAACAAACAAGCTATGAAGCTTAAAGGTAAGGAGAGGATCAGGCATCTCTCGAAGGAACTTCTTCATCAAAGCCGCAACTTGAACGGCGGACTCTTTGTCCAACTCAGCAGCCTCGTACTTGGTGTCAATAAGCTCAGCGGTTTCTCTGAGTCGTTTAATGTTTCCGTTCTTACGGAAGACACCTTCAACAGACATATCCATCTGCCGCATGGCGGAGATTGCGTCGTCGATAAAGGTTGGAATTCGCAATGTTCCAGGGCCAACTCCATGGGTTGATTCTGTTCCGTCTCTTTCAACGATGACTTCCAAGGCTACGCCGAAAACGCCCTTCTTCTTGCCAACCTTGCGAGGATCGTTCTTGAAAGCACGGTTAAAGATGTTCCAGATAGTTGGCTTGCGAGGCTCGATGAGACCAAGAAGTTCTTCGAGATTGAAGCTTCCTTCCAGCAAGGGCTCCATGGAAAGGACAGCAACGTGTCGAACAATGAAGTATTCTAGAGCAGATAGCTCTGAGAAATATTTCTTAGCTCTAGGTCGTTCCATGGCACCCAGCTGGTCAACGGATACTCCTCGTTGATGACCATTGACAAGCTTAGCAGCAGGGCCGCCGCTTCCAATGAGATTACCACCAGCATGCTTATACGCGTTAGGACGTTGCTCTTTGGCCTGCTCGGCAGCGACGATTCTTGGAATATCGTCCAGAGTGAGAGCATCTTGGTTTCCAAAAGTAAGGTCAGCAACAGGCTCGCCATCAGCGTCTCGTTCTTCGACGATTTGGAAGTTCTGGTTTTGGCCATTGTTGGCACTTCCAGGAGCACCTGGTTGGACGCTGCTGCTCTCAGGGCCAGAGATTATGCGCGAAGTTCGAGCTTTCTTGAAGGTTGTGGAGATGGCCCGCTCATTCCTAGTAGATCGGAGTCTTCTCATCTCACCGACTGTCTGTTCGAGTGATGAAGGCGCCTTCTCTTCATTTTGCTCGCCAGTGTAGGACATTGAGCGAGTAGTTGGACGCTGAGGTGGCACATGGGGATCGGCCTGTGGAGGAATACGGTGGCCATCATTTGCCTCGTATTCCTTCAAGTTGGGATCATCTATATGAATGGTCAGTAGAGAGTCAAGAGTTGTTTGAGTGGCAGAGCGCAGACATACCAGATGTGTGTGGTAGAGTACCACCAGATCGTAAGACAGAAAGGAGTCTAGCAAGAGCCACTCGAAGCAGGAAGACGTATTGCTGTAGTTTGGTAACGTTTTCAAATCCAGAAATGGCCTGGGGATCATGTCCTCTCTGTACAGCGCAGTTTTGGCAGAATGGTCGGTCATTCTTCTCACTCCATCTTGCGCGCTCAAGGTCGTGTGTTAGGTCATCCTGGCATGCGCCGCAGACAAGGTGCGGCGGCTTCTTATGCCATTGTCTCCGGCCCAAGACAATGCACTCATCATCAATTGGTTCAGTGCACGCAGCGCAGCAGTCAGACTGAGAGTGAGCTAGCTGTGAGGTATCAGTGTTTAGATCGCTGGCTGTGATAGTGTTCACTTCCTCCAGATCTGCAGTTAGGTCTAGGAAAGCATAGAGGGCATCTGGTGTCTTTGTTTCGCGCTCTAATCTAAGAGAGCCCTGCAAGCCAATGCGGATAAGGAGTTTTAAATAATGTGCCAGCCCTGTAACAAGGGCAAGGAGCTCCTGTGTAACTCCAAGCTTCCGAACTCCGGTCTCTTGTGTCTTTGAAAGCAATGAAAAGAAAGAGACAACTTTCTTGCAAAGCAGCTTTGCTTCTCTACCATATGCCATTTCTATTCCCCGTTGTTAGCATACCGATAACCAATTGTTTGGGAAAAGGGGGAGGGAAAAAAAGGAGAGCAGAGTATTAGATGACTTACCTTTTACTCCAAGGGCAGAAATTTGAGATGCAAGCTGGTCCGTACCCTTGAAGAGGACCTCGACGTGGAAAATGAACTTTTTCGCAACAACAACGCCATCGATGTATGCACCATTGCTAACATGCAGCAACATATCGGAAATGCACGCGGCAGACGACTCTTCAAATGCAGAAAGCACGCTCCAGATACGGTAGACCTTTTCTTCCATCTTTTCTTCCTCGTCACGGATCTGGTCTCGTTCCTCATTGCTGACATCGCGGTCAATCTCTGGCGGTTCGAATGTCTTCCCACTTGGAGACAGGCGCACGTTCCAGAATTTATGTATCATGTAACACTCAGGGTGCCAATGCTGGTTCTGGCCGTTTCGGAAAATCTCAACAAACTGTTTTAGGATTGCGGTTTGGCAGCCATTGCATCGCTGAGCGAATTGGGTCGAGTAGTGGTAATGGCAGTAAACCTTGCCCTCGTGCTCGTAGTAACTGTCTTGAGCTCCAAAGACGGTAGGGCAAACGGAGCAGGTGAAGTGCTCAATGTGATATTTGTGGTCTAAAGCCGTGATGTAGGATCCTCTAAGGGCGCCTCCGCACTCGAAACACAATAGGTTTAATCGTCGGAAGTAGTCTCGTTCACAAAGGGGATGTTGGGAATTGCCATCTTCAGAGTCGACGGGGAAGAACTTCGATGCGACAATCTCTCCGCAATCCTTTTTTCATTTCATTCATGTTAGAGTGTTTTATTATAAGATTGGCAACAAGGGAAGAAACGACGTACTTTACACTGGAAACATTCGAGATGGAATGTGCCTCCCAAGGCACGGACGAACTGTCCCAGTAGAGGCTCACCACAGACTCTGCAGATTCTGGTATTCCCGCTGGGAGACTTGCTGGTGGAAGGGCCATTCGAATTATTATTATTATGTCGGTCGCGCGACTTGGTTCTGCCAGGGCTTCGGTAGGAGTCTGGCTGTCGGGGAGAGCGTTCTTCAGGGTTGACATTGGACTCGGTGGGAGCGGACGGGGGGATGTCAGACCAGGGAGCACTTCTGTTGCCGTCTGGACTGTCTATGGGCGACTGGCCCTGGAAGCCGGATGTGTTTGTGATCTGTAAACCGCCATCTTCGCCTCGATTTCCGGGTAGCAGGTTGGGTGGAATATGACGACCACCTGCAGACGCCATATCTGCGTCGACCACCTCCGCCCGAGGTGAGTATCCTGCCTTTTTTTTTTTGTTTCTTTTCGTAGAAACTGTCTCTCTCTTTTTTATTTTTTTCGCTTCTGAGGACAGACAGGGAGGATCGGTTAGAGGGAGGATGAAAGAGAGGAAAGGAGAACGGTATCCCCTATTTTGGAGGTTGAGGGCGCGTCGGTTCAGGGAGAGGAAGCAAGCGAGAGAGTGAGAGAGTGAAATACGCGACAGAGCGGCCCGGATAGCGCTTAGAGGCCCAGGAGGCTTGTAGTCTAGGTGACGCAAAGACTGCAGTTAAGCATAAATAAGGAGTAAACCCGGGGTAACTAAAAAGAGGTGAGGTCGTCTGTGTGTTATTTCTCCAAAGGGTCACAGTCTGTCAGGCCGGTAGACAGGAGACAGGAAGAAGAGCACAGCAGCAGCAGAGGTAGAGCGAGGTGAAAAATGAGCGAGTGTGTATGTGAGAGCGAGCTGGAACAGGGCAGGGTGTCTAGGCAGATTCACGCAGCAGTCAGAAACAAGAGCGGCCTTCCATCCTCTAGCAGGTAGGGGGGTTTTGCTTGGGGCAGGTTTCATCAATAGCATCTTTCAGGAGGAGGCTGGTTAGTGGGGAATCCATACCTTTCTCTGGGGGGTTTACCCTTCTTTTTTCATTAAATTCGTTATTAGATTCCGCCCCGGGAGCCAGACGCTGGTGAAAGGAGAGACAATGGCAGCGAGAAGGAGGAGGGCGGGTAAAGAGGCGTAGGCGTATGGGCGGGCGTTGCAGCAGTCCCCCTATCGAGCCATATGAAAAAAAAAAACCTATAAATGGGGGCAGCGGAGGAGGGTCAGGACGGTCAGTTGGCAGGTCATCGAAGCACAGCAACGGGTAAACGGTTTTCCACTGCGGCTAGCGGGACAGGCACACCAGCCAGGGAGGACAGCCGGGCCAAAAAGCAAAGAGAACATCGAGGGAGGAGCATCGACTGCATCCTTCGCGGGCTTACCTTGCAGAAGAGCCTGCGTCTTTCAGTCGCTGGCTGTCACTGGCGTGCCGGGGCTGGTGATGTCAAGAGCAGCAAGCAGCAGCAGCAGCAAGCAGCACGCACCGAGTTATTAGAGCGCTATCCCGCTGGCGTGTGTGGTGTAAGTACTGATGTAGAGTTGCTTTTTGATGCCCCAGGGATAACTAACCAGCCGGCGACGCTGCTTGGCATGCAGACCGATAGTTAGCCCGAAGCGACTACTTGTGGCCCTCCAGGCCGGCGACGGGAGCGGCAGAGACGCGTGGATCGGCCAGCAGCACGCGGGACAGGAGCTGGCGGTGACGCTGGCGGAGGTCGAGGACGAGGATGTTTCTTGCTGCGGCGTCGTCGTCGTCGTCGTCGTCGTCGATTTTGGCGTTTCTTTTGCGTTTCTTTTGCGCTTTTTCGAAGTCGCTGGTTCGGAGGTCGCGCTAGTCCCAAAGGGGGGAAAGGGAAACAGACTCACGTGATGAGGACAGCCTAGGTACATCCAGATCAGATATAGATATAGATATAGATACAGATATAATGTAGATTAAGTATAGATATAGATATAGATAGATGTAATGTTTGATATGACTACTCAGGTACAGACACGTTGCCACTGACTGCAGCCGACGAAACATCTCTCATGCTATATTTACAGCCAGTGGCTGGACATGAAACACAACTCTAATTAAGATATTATCAAGCAGGCTAAGGTCTATAAAGTAAGATGCAGGAGAAACAAAACAGGCAGACACAAAAAGAAGACAGCTCAAGGATGGACGACGGCGGAAGGCTGGGGGTGGGTAAAAATAGGTCGCTAAGCCACAGACCGCAGACTAGCCGCCTAGAGCCTCGCCTTGTCATGCTTGTCTCGTTGCCGCGAGTGGTACTGGTCTCGCATCGCTCTGCGCAGCATCTTGCCCGAGGGTGTCCGTGGTATCTACTCTCAGTCAGTATACAGAACTTCGAACGAAAATAGATAGAAATGGGTGAGCTGGCTTACAGAGTCGACTATCTCGATCCCGCCAGCAAGATGCTTGTACTTGGACAGCCGGCTCTTGACAAACTCGTCGAGCTGCACGATGACCTGGCTCGCATCTCGCCGTCTGCCTTCCTCAGATAGCACTACCCACGCCCGAGGGAAGAGGCCACCGTCTCCTCGGCCGTTGTCGACCCCGGCAACACACGCATCTCGCACCAGCTTGTCCGGATGAGACAGCAGGGTATCCTCGACCTCCGTGGCCGCGACCTGCATGCCCTTCACCTTGATCATCTCCTTCAGCCGGTCGAGAAAGTGCAGTCGGTCTTCTGCGTCTCGCATCATCAAGTCGCCTGTTCTCAGCCAGCCGGGCTCGGCGAACAGGCTCGCAGTGGCTTCCCGGTCCTTGTAGTAGCCCGGAGTCACGACGGGCGCTCGAACCCAGAGCTCGCCCTTGGTTCCCTTGGGTACGGGCTCGAATGTGTCTGGGTCAACCAGCTTGGCTTCAATGCCGGGCATCAGATGTCCGATCGTTCCTGGCTGGGAGCGAGAGAGTCCAAAGAGACCCTCGACCACCGGCTGGGCGACAGAGAGCGCCTCTGAGAGTCCATAGCCGGATTGGATGGGGGACTGTTGCGGTAGCTTCTTGCCGAGGCTGTGAGCTACGTCTGGCGGGAGATAGGCTGCTGCGCTTAGGGCCAAGGTGACGGATGAAAGGTCATACTTCTCCGTCAGGGGCGATAGAGCGAGCTGTCGGACAAGTGGTGGCACGAGAGGGAGAGTGGTGATCTTGTGCTTTTCTATAAGCCTCAGAGCGGTCTCCAGGTCCCATTTGGCCATTAATACGTTTGTATTCCGCATCACGTTGACTCGAAGGGCGTACATAGTCAGCCCATATGAGTGATAGGCCGGGACTATACCCAGGAGCACAGTCAACGGTGGGTCTATATTCATCTATTTTCGATACGATTATCAGTATACCCAGTTCAAGGCGGGGCAGGCCATATATGGATGGATGTGTCAAAGCTTACAAACTCTGCCGTCCGCCGCGAGTTTATCATCCCCTGCAGGGTAGTGTGTATGGCATTTTTATGCGATATCATCATGGCTTTTGGAAACCCAGACGTCCCTGACGACTGAAGCAGGTAGCATAACCGCTCCCCCCCTGAACGCTTCCATGACTTCTCTGGTGTTTTTGAGCCAAGTCGAACTAACGACTCAACCGTAGGATAACCCTGCACTGAGTCCAGCGTGGGATCATCCGATATGACTACTATCTTGCTGGTGTCAAATACAAGCTCAAGTCTGCTGTCATTGCCCGTCTGAGGACCATTCCGGACAGTATCCATCAACAGAGGGAGCAGAGACTCGTGGACGGCCATTGATGTGACCTGCATCTTGCGCATGACATGGTATAATTCATAAGGCGTTGAATTGGGACTGATGCTACCAAAAACAAGCTCTGACCGGAAACATGCATGCACCAGCAACGGCCATGAAAGATGGTTCCCTGATAGTATACCCATGATCTCACCATTGCCGTTATCATCCACCGGCGACTGCCCCAACCCAACCGGGTTAGGTCCGTCATGCCGCAGGGCTCTCGAGAGAGATACTACTCTGTCGTAGAACTGATACAACGACACCGTGGTGCCTATATACCCATCTATGAATAGATCATGGTCCGGCTGGTCAATTGGCTTCTCTGGAGGAAACAAGAAATCATGCAAGTTCAGATCCGGGTCAACCTTGGGAAACGGTCCAAACGGACTCCGAAAGACAACTTCATCTGTTGGTTTATATTTGCTGTGGACGTCTGGGCTCTCTGGGCCGATGGTATATCTATCGAAGGCTTTGGACATCATGAAGCTGGAGTCTTCGCCCCCCTCGCTCCCTTTTTTTTTTTTTTTTCTTCTTCTAGCGCAGAACACGTGGGGCAGCGAGGAAGACAGACAGACAGCATGAAGAGATCAAGTAGGAAAAAGAAGAAGCAAAAAGCGCTGTATGGCTTTTGAGGAGTTGTGGCGGTTGAGAGATATAACAACGGTAAGTAAATATATAAAGAAGAAGAAACTGGAGGTTCAATTCACTCCAGCAACACCACTTCAACTCCTTTATAACACCGCCCCGACGACTTGGCAGCAAGCGCGACAGGACAGCAGAAGCAGACGCAGAGAAGCAAGCAGTGGTGCATATAAAAGTTGCCTAGCCGAGCTGGCATTCCTCCATATGGGCGACTGTAACTCCGTATGGAGAACTCCACATCGTGCTGGCTGGTTACGAAGCAGACACCCCCGAGGTTCCCCGACTGCGACAACGTTGCGTGTTGCAGGTATCCTATTTATCCCTCCCCCAGGGCTCTCTCTGGCCGTCGCCCGCGGGATATATATTAGCACCAGAGGCGTGCGCCGGTCAGTCGCACCGCCTCGACGAAGAGGGAATATGCGCGAGTCAGTCGCATTGGCTCTTGCGCCGCCGACGGGGACGGGGAACGAGGGGCGAAAAGAAAAATAGGCCTTCCTGGGTTGTTTTTGTTCGTGGACGGTCGAAACGTCGAAAAAGCGAGTTGATCCCAATGATCCGGCAGCGATGGATTGCCTATTTGCGACTGGCTCGGCTTAGGTAAGCGCTGCTGCTCGTCCTATTGGCGGAGCTGCGGCGGCCCTTCATCTATAGGAGACGGCCATAAGATCGGGCGGCCGGGGTGCTGCAGAGATCAGCTAAGCGTGTGCGCGTGGGGAGGACATTCGACGGTTCTACGGTCTTTCTAGCAATACTATTAGCCGTTCGGGTCGTGTGTTTTCTTCTTCGTTACATGGCTTTTCCTTGGATTTGGAATTCTGCGGAAGAAAAAAAAAAAGGAAGCGAGAAAAAAAAAAAAAAAACTTGTATTATATAAGCAGACAAGCAATTCATTACATAATCATTGAATATCACGTGAGGGACTTTCCCATCGACGTCAAAGGGAGAAAAAATAAAGGAACCTTGAGAAAGAGATCGTGAAGGCGCATAAAAAGGGTTGAGGATTGGAAGAGGACCTGCATCTAGCTGAGCACTGAGCACTGAGCACTGCGAGCTGGTCATTGTCTTACAGAAAACAGCCGGAATACAACTCGCCAGCACCATGAGCTCTTCCACCCCCGTCCACGAGCCCACTCATCGCAAACGCGAGCTCCCCCAGAGCGAACTCGAAGCTACCGCCCAGCTCAAGCTCGGCGAATTCCAGCATGTTCCGACCCTGTCTCTGTCCGAAGCTCGACTGGTGATTAACAAGGTCCTTGACCTGCGGAGGAAAGGGGAGAGCAAGTTTGAAGAGCGAGAGTGAGTTGTGCGCGCTGGTTGTTTGCGACTTGGGACCAGGCCGTCCATGATGCTAACGCCGATTTCGCTCGCCGGCAGGACCCTGGTCAAAACACAGGACTATCTCGAAGTGTTTGCCAGATTCAAGGAGAAAGAGAACATCGAGGCTGTCGAGCGACTTCTCTCTGCGCATACGGAGCTGGAGTTCTTTGAGCGGTCGCAGCTAGGTACGTGAGACCGGCAGCTTAACTACCTGTCGATTTTGGTAGTGGTTCACTCCAAGCTAACCCTAACCCTAGGGAGTCTATGCTGTGATAACGCCGAAGAAGCCAAGTCCCTAATCCCAAGTATCGGGAACAAGATCTCGGATGCAGACCTGCAGGAGCTCCTAGACGAGCTCACCAAGCTGCGAAATTTCGTGGAGTGATTACTCCATTACACCACTGGGAAGATATAAAATATGGGAGAGACGAGAATAGCAGTGCTTTGGGAGTCCTGTTTATTATCTTCGAAATAACGGGTTTGGGAGGGGCTTTTTTAGCAACGTGCAAGGCGTTCAGGTTTGGAAAACGGTACCTTACGGAAGACGACATTCTACATGATACTGTTTATTTTTATTTGCTAAAGAGAGCTAACGCATAGCATCAGAGGGGAGAACTCCTTTTTTTTTTTCTTTTTTCATTATTAGCCAGATAATTAGAAGGATAAATGCCAAGTCAGTGCTAATAGGTAGTGGAAGCCGAGTTCATCAGGAAATACTAAGGAAGATGCTTTTCTATGGGGGAGAATTGGAAGAGAAACGAGTGTCGTTAAAAATTCAAAGTCCTCCCACAAACTCCATTCCAATGGCAGTCAATGCAGGGTATGGAAAAATATATACAGTCTATCGTACACAACTCTATGTCCTTGAAGAAACCTAAACCGGAGAATGATGCTAAACACCCTCGCTCACTTTTGTCATTATAAAATCAGCAATGGAAAGTAGGCAAACTCCAGTTTCATCCAGTAAAGCGCCGCATTAGTTAAGACTTGAACATAACTTCAGCCGGAAGCCTAAAGGAAGCACAGAACATTCTCTTGTTCGGCGAGACAAGTCTGATATCACGAATCTCAAGCTCAAGATCCTGGTTTCCCGTACCACCAATCATATCGTCAGGGGTAATCTTGTACTGTATCCTTTCCGAAATGCGGTTGCAGATATCCGCAAACTCAACAGCGTTGTCATCAGAGTTGGTTGAAAAGCAGTAAACATGAACAAACGGGCGCTTGCGCTGGGTGTGCGGCTCGAACATTGACTCCTTTCCAGCATAAACACCGATAAAAGCGTCTAGGAACTCAATTGCGGAAGCCGGAAGGTTCATCACGTAGTGGTCAAAGGTAGGTGGGCATTTGTATACTTGTGGAGGGACAGCTTTCTTCTCGGCGGCCTCGGTGCGTTTCACTTTGGGGTATATCTTGACAGGGCGTGGACCGTTAACGCATAGCTCCTGTGAAGCGTGTCGGATAAACTCCCTTCCATCCATGTTAAACGGCTGGACGAATTCCCTAACTTTGTTCCGAGCAGCACCTTCTTTCAGCTTCTCATATCCGTGAGGGTTAAGGTCATTCGCATAAACGAATACCCTCTTCTTACCCGCTGGCAGAGCAAAGGGTCCAACGCCAGCCATGACATCACACACAGCTTCTCCCTCTTTGAACCTGCCAACAAGGTATGTATGCTCGTTTCCTAGGCGTGAATTCCAGTATACTTTGGAGTAGTCGAATGCAAACTCGCATCCCTGCTCATGCTGGACAACATTCATATCTTCGTCCCCAACCAGGTGCTCGTAGGCGAAAGTGCGATATTCGCTGTTTGCGCCAACATCGTCCACCTTGTTGATCACCGTTCGGACCGTCGAGTTTTTATCTCGGATAACTTCCGCAATTAAATGTTTATATGGGAGATATTGCTCTCTCAGGTTAAGGTGTGCTATATTTTCACGAAGTTTAGTATACCCAGTCTCTACAAACTCAAGCATTTCGGTTTCACATACCAACATGGCCAACTTGGTTAAAGCCCGCTGGTGTTTCCTCAAGATGTTCCTCAGGCAGTATTGAAGAAAGAATATCATCTGCAATGCATGTTAGTACTTGCAATTTAACAGTTGCATCTCCCGCTTGCACATACGATAGAGCCAGTAGTCATAATCAAGGTGAAGATCATATGGTTTCAACTCCACGGACTTCGCTTCAACCAATTCCCGTATTGTTGGGGACCATGTAGCCGCATCATTGGCTTGTATCTGCTCCTTCAGCAAGATGCACATTTTGTTCTTTTCCTCCTCCGTGGTGGGGTTCTGGACATATCGAATAGCCGGTAGCCGTGGAGCGTTCAGAATATCGTTACTCTTCGCCAGCTCTGTCTTAATCCGGCCAAGATTCCTCGCTTCAAATACTGTGGCCGCAGCAAGAGGTATGGTCTTTTTGAAGAATGATCGGTCAAGTACGCGCATTGCGCGGTTGATAGGGGGTCTGAACATGGTCTGGGGGGAGGAAGGGTGGTCGCGAGGGAGCGTAGAAGGCTTAACAGCGAAGAACGGAATTAGTTCATCGGTTTATATTCAGATATTGAGTCCTTTAGAAGATATTCATCTTGCGTACAGAAGTTTTCAAATCCATCTAAGTAACGTTAACTAATCGACTGATAAGAAAAATTTTCTGATATCGATAAGCAAACGTGTGGTAGTGAATTTTTTATCAGCGCATTGCAGTGTATTCAAGTTCAAATAATCGGGCTTGCAAAGCTCGTACGGCTCAAGAAAATATACTAGAGAATTATCTCACAGCATAAATCGAATCAAGTTAAGTCGGCTCAAAATATCAAATTGCTGTTCCAACAACCTCAAAGTGGATTGAACCTGGAATTAAAGTGGTCACGTGCGGAGCCTATTTTGATGACCAGAAACTCCAACCTTCGACATCCCAACAACTTATCAACTTCAACTTCAATCTCAACTTAATTATCTTCATCAGCAGCAGCTGCAGCAATCATCAATGTTGATCACGATGTTACTGAGAAAATAACCAGAGGAGTTTCAACTTCAATCCCAGGAGAGAAAAGTCGTGGCAAGCGAAGACCTGATAATACAGCTTTTAAACGTTTCGGCATGAGTTATATATTTGAACAGCACACCCTGCGACTTGGCAATAATAGAGCAGCGGCTGCAATAATAGTTTGCATGGTGTCTGTCTCGTTTTAAAAAGCGACATCGGTCTCATCTTCCTGGGAGATCCTGCGCAATACTCCGTACCAGACGTGCGATATCACTTTGCGAGAAAATACGGAGTAACGAATTCGATACTCCGGACCTCGTATGCACATAATCCATAAACACGCCAAAGCGGAATTATCATCGAACAAGAATAATAATAATAATAATGCCCATTTTCCAGTCGTGATCAGAGGCAAGTTGCAGATCATCATCTCGACGGCTGCGACTATTTGACGATTGACAGGACCGAACTGTAACGTCTTCTTGGCGGCCGATAGTATTGTTCGCAGCAACAAACAATCCCAGGCATGCCTCAAGCCCCAGGTTCGCTTGTGAAGCACGCCACCATATGGTAGCATAAAGTCTGACGCCAACAAGCAATGCACCCGACATTTCCTGAGCACCGCTTCGCAACACTCAACATGTTCAGTTGAACAGCCTCATGATCTTTCTCCAGGGTTCTGCCTTGAATACGGGATCGAGGGCCCAGCGCCCACCTGTCTTCGGACTCCCACAGTATCCTTGGGCTCTGTGCCGTGCAGGTTTGAGCTTTTTTTATCACACGAAGAGAGTGAGGCCGACTTGGAGCGAGTGCTGGGTCTTGGAGTCTGATTGATTAAACCGAGCCAATGACCGCTCGCTGGGAAAAGAGGCCGCTGAGCCTCAGCTAGCAGCGTGTGATCTCACGGCCGAAATTAGTGTCCTAGCTAGCTTTGCTTGAGCCCACACTATGGAACAGAGCTGCCAGTCATCTCACTCGCGGAACGAGGACGCCAAGAATACTACCCATCATCGCGAGGCATCACAACACGCCGCACCTAGGATTGCCAGCACAAATCGCAGGGGTACGGAGCACATCCGTCTCACCATCAGCTGGGACGGGAAAGGTGTCCCATAAAAAGGTCAAATATTCCGTTCTGAATAATACCCAAGAAGGGAGGGTTCAACCCCAGGTCATCAGTCAAGCTGGCTGAGATGCTATTTATAAAACTAGTGGGTACGCTAATTTAATCGAATTCTCTCCATATTCCCCAGGGCAGAGATGACAACCTGCACACAAGTGAAGATATCACATATAATTCGGAGCGCAATGGGACTGAATATGGGTTGTACGGCATACCAGCCAAAAGAGGTGCGGAAAAGAAGCCGCCGAACGAAAGGAGAATCAGAAGCTGTGTTGTGATCCTGCCTGCCCGGGGTGGACCTTGCGCGGGCAGAACACGGAGATACCAGAATAAAGGAGGCTCAAAGGTGCCAAGCTTTTTAGCGTAACCTAATATCTTCATCCCGCTTGGGCTTCAGCTTGTTTGGGTCGCGTTGCTTTCAACTCGCCTACTTGCAGCGTTGGCGAACGCGAGACGGCCTGAGACTCGAGAGGAGATGTTATGCTCAAACCCTTTGCCGCCTTGGTGCCAAACGGTCATTAACTCAAGTACATTTAATCTTCACAGAACATTCATCCAGATCGACAGTCAAGCCACCCAAACACTAACTCGTATTTGCCCCTATTCTCCCCAGTTGCTTTTTTTGTGATCGAGCCTTGTTGATACCCGATTTGGTCAAGGCTAACAGCATCGCGAAAATATACACAGTCAAAATACGAGGAGAGAATGGGAAAGGGGCTTCAAGCATCTTTGAGCTTTTCCCAACTCCAGACTAGTGCCCAACTCCACATGCGCCTTTCCACAAGCCAGAGTCAAGGTTTTCGAGTCCACAGCTCGCTCTGAATGGAGGGCTTCTGTTCCCGGCCAATTAACGTTGTCACCTATCCTGATCATCAGAACATAGCCTCAAGTTCTCAAGGGAAAATAAAGGCATGGGATCCTGTACCGAGCTACTCCCCAATTCGGAGTAGCAGCGGAGCCCAAATCCGAGATGTGGTCCTCGTGTATTTTTAGGACAGGTCCTCGAATTTTATATATACCTCCTCCTTCACCCTTTTCTCGTCTCTTCTGTCGCTTTTGCTGAAGGACAGTTTCCAGCTCAACCAACTCCAGTCGTTCTTTTTCTTTCTCTTCTTCAGTCTAATAATTTTAGCCATACCCTATATATCAATACTTTGACATCACTATGCGCTTCTCTGTCGCCTCCCTTCTCTTCTTGGGAGCAACTTTGGTTGCTGCTGGCTCCGTCCCCGACGATTCCAGTGCCTCCTCCAGAAGCGCTCACTCCCTCAGCCGAACCGGTAACAACTTGAAGGCTCGTAGCAATATCTTTGCCCGTGCTTCAGGAGATGAGCACTGCTCTGGACGGGGCGTAACCTGCCAGAGCTGCTTCGGTAGCGGTTACAAGGAATGCCCTAACGATTCGACCAAGTGCTACAACCCAGATGACCCAAGATACTCTAGCTGTGACCCCTCTGGCGGTAGCGGCGGTTCTGGCGGCAGCGGCGGCAGCAGCGGTGGTAGCAGCGGCGGCTCTGGTGGATCTGGCGGCTCCGGTGGCAGCAGCGGCCCTACCGACGAGAGCTGCGCTCGCCAGTACGGCACTGGAAACAAGGTCTGCGGTACTGACAGCTGCTACAACCCAACTGTGGGAGAGACCTGCTGCCAAAACACTGGAAGTAAGTTAACCCGCATAGTACATACCACTAATCGCTGAACCAATTATTAACCCAATTCCTTTAGGCCACTGTGATCTCGGTAGAAAGTGCTCCAAGTCTGGCACCCTTTGCTGTGCTCCTGTATGTGACATTCAAATATAACTTTGTATACTGTGTCCCTGCTAACAGATAAAATAGGGCTCTAGAAACCCTGATTGCAGAGGTATTAGCTCCAATGACAGCACCACTACCTCCTCCAGCACTTCAACCTCTACCTATACTTCTGGAAGTTCTTACCCAACATCCACTAACGTCTCTGGATCTTCTCCATCATCTTCGCCAGATACGCCTCAAAGCAACGGTGCTGGCTGCCTCTCTGTCAACGTTTTCCCCATCCTTGCCGGTGGACTGGGTGTGATCGCCGCCCTCTAAACCCCCTCCCACTCCCACTCGTCAACAGCATTTCCGCTTCGTTTTTATAATTATGCTATATATATACCTTCACTTCATGCATTTATAATGTTCTATTTGTTCAATTCTCCCTACTGAATCCTTTATATCCAAATAATTTGCGGACGAACTGCACCTTTTCCCAAAATAATTGCGGATTTGTTTATCACGCCTGGTCAGAATTTGTCAATGCTGTTGCATCGGTACTAAATAACTACACGTGGAATGAAATCATACTTCAAGTAACACTCTCTTCGTTCTGAATTAAACATGCCAAAGATTCTTAAATTACATTCCAAGTCCATCTTTGTCTTTCCGGGTCCCAGAAGGTGGGTGGTGACCTTTGTTGATCGACAACGACTTCCAAGATTCCCGCTCTGCCTCTAAGATTGGAATCCGGCTCTCCAACTCTTCTATGCGTTTCTCCCGGCTCTTGATCGCCAGCCTCGATATATCCCTTCCCTTAATGATTCCCAGGGTCTTTAGATCGTTCCTATCCAGCAGCTCAACCAATTCTTCCTTCGCTTTGGGCGTAACGTTAATTTTATGAGCCTCAAGTATACCAAGAGCCTTGGCTGTTGTCTCACAGTGCAGGGATTTCTTATTGATCCTCTCTGCTGAATGATAGAAAAGAGGTGATGACGTAAAGCGCGAAGGAGTCGGGGTTGTAGGGGCCTCAAGCGACGTTTTCTGGGCAGGGCAGGTTTCACTTTTTGGCGGAAGTGTTGATTTCTTAGGAGTCGTAAATAGCGGAGGTGGTGGTATCGGTTCGGCATCCAAGGCCTCAAGCCTCGAAGCCAACGAAGGATAGGAGATATCTGCAACAGTGGTGAAGGAGCTGGTATCCTGCTCTGTTGCCGGTGATTTAGGTAACTCAAGCTTCCCTTTTTTAGTAGGGCTTTGGTATTTGTCCAAATAAGCAGTTATATCTGCGTCTCGTTTCCTCTTTGTCTGAGACTCTGGCGTTAAAAGCCCGCCGCGTATGGACTCTCGGATGCGGTTCGCTTTGGGTGTACGTAGTACTGGGCCTGGTTTTGTGTTATCAGGTCGAACTTGGACTGGATCTGCCTCTTGAGCGTCGGTATTCTCCGTCACAGAGTCTACTGCATTTTGTGATGCCTCTCGTTCCTTAGCGACATCGTCCCATAGAAAGAATCCGCATCGCATTTCCCGTGGCTTCGGACATGTATAGACTGTAGGACAGAAGTATTACCGTTAGCCTGAGCGGAATATCGTAGTAAAATGTATACACATTACGCTTACACCAACGCCCATGGTTTTTGCCGCCGTTTTTCGTCTCAAAATGGTTTGCTATCCGGCGAGGCTCACAGTCACAATGCCATCTCCCATTGACTAGAAGGCCTCGCAAGGTTTCCGGTTTCCTCCCCGTCCAGGAAGGGCGCTGGCCTGGAGAAGCGTCGCTCTCCGGCTGGCCCGACATACTAGGTAGTGAAGGTCATGAGAAGCAGGGTAAAAAGGGTCGTCGAGGACATTGTCGAGGAGAAAGCAGCTGGGTCGAGGACAGTTGAGGGTTGTAGTAGCCAGGGCAACCGCCTTTTAGCTAGTTATCGATCTTATCTAAACTTAAAGTGGCTCCACAGCTGCCGCAACTCAAAAACTGGCCTTAAACACCATCCAACAGCACGCTTGTCTCCCCTACTATCCCCACTACATCAATGCATGTTACTCTAGCGTTGAGCGTTTTCCACGGAGCACAGGCAAGGAATGGGGTGGAGCTTATGCCGTGTATGCAAAATTATACATATGTCGTATATAATTCACTTTTGGATCTGCCTTGGATGCTTCTACCTAGTTTCAGAACCGCCGTGTATTCCCAAAATATAACCAGCCGGAAAGACAGATATATCTTCTTCATCTCTTCTTTATCATGCGAGGACCATCCTCAACATCGATCCAAAGGAGTCACGTAGCTTCAATATCTCCGATATCTTAGGTTTCACTGGTTCCCCTGCAGAACGACGGAGCCGGTCCTGGTGCCTGGCACGGCGTTTGCGTTCAAATTCTATAGGGTCCATATCATCATCCTCAGAGTTTTCATCTGATGGGTCTGAAATATCATCTTCAATCACCAGGTCTTCCAAGTCACCCTAGAAGAAGAATGTTAACAGGAGAACATATATAGGTGCCCTTCAGAGTTTCTTACCTCATGGAGCCCAAAGTCACTGCTTTTAAACGTAGAAGCACCCGGAATCTGCTCGTTAACACCTTCAGCCGCCATCTTCTGCCGGGTTTTATCCTGGTGCCATTTCTTTCTGTCCGAATGCCATTTAATTAGGGCGTCAATCTCGGCAATCGCGATATCCTTGTCAATCTGGCCAGCAGAAACAGCTCCTTGGAAGAGTGCATTCATGTCAAGAGTGCCTCCACTTTCTGGCCCCTCGCGAAGGAACTTGAGAATATCTTCCAACCACGTCATTAGCGATGCGAACAGCCCATTATCATGAATATGAACTTCATGGACGAATTTATAAAAACTATGCTGATGGCGGGTGCAGAGGTCGATAAATGACTGGACAGTTTGGTTCGGGTCGGCAGAAACATCTTGTCTTTGAGCTCGCTCAATGACAGCAATAGCATCATTTGCAAATTCTGCAAAGTCTGTGATGCTATTGTAGACGTTGGCAGATTTGTAAACACGGACCAGAGGCTCGTAGAAGATGGTGAATAGATCACGGAAAAGTTGTAGGGTCACAGGCTGCTACAGAGTCAGTAGGTACCTATAATGGATGCCAAAGGAAACCAGCAGTCTCTTACCTCTTCAATAATACTAAGCATCATCATCTTATCTCTTTGCCGCGTGAGCACTTTCAAAAGCTGCTTTAGATATGAAAACCACTGGGCACCTTGCTGTATCTCAGGATCATTAATCTATTATGAACATGTTAGCAATGCAATTCGAGTGGGTGGGGGAAGTCAAAGTCACGTACACTTTCAACTGCGCTCACCCAAGCGACATAAGAATTGAACACTTTCTCGATCTGCCGTACAGTCAATTCCGGCTCGAAGTGTTCTGACCGCAAGATCACCACAACTATATCAACACTTTCTGCTTCTGCCTCTGCACGGAGCTCATTCTTCACCTGTTCATCGGCTTCCGTAAATGCTCGAAGCTTATCTACTAGAATGTTGTCATCGATTCTTGCTGCTAAGCTATCGACTGACTTTTGAAAAGCTTTCACGCCGTCTTGAATCGCCATGGCGAATATTCGCTGTAAAAGAGATCGAGCTCCAAACGGTTGAGCAAGGAAAAGGTCCAGAACTCCGGCCATCACGGCAGCAGGGTTAGCAATGCGGATGACATTCTTTAAAATCGAATACGGGATCAAAGAGTGTATCCGTTTGGCCTGAGCGAATAATTCCGGAGAATTATCCTCAGCTAAAAAGATATGGTATAGTGTAGCCGCAACCCTGTTGTAGATTGTTATAGTCAGAAACATGAAACCGGCGGTTACAAAAGCGAAGGCAGGGTATACATACTCGATACGCAGCCATTCTGCAAACTTTTGATATTGTGGACTCAACGCTTCTACAGAGTCCTTGTCTCTAATCTCCTGAAATAGTTTTGTGAGGCCATCTGTAGGAGGTCGGGTCGTTAATAGTGAGTCTCTAGAAGCAGGGCAGTAGAAGAATCCACGGATATTTTACTTACTTCTTTCCACAATATCTTGTCTGAATTGCTCCATATAAACATCTAATTCACGCGCCCGTTTTCGTGCAATCTCGTAAAAGCGTCTTTGCTCTTCAATGCGCTTGGCATCAAGTTCTTTTCTTCTTGCGACATCTACCTCTTCCTCTTCATTTAAAGTGATCGGTTTATCCGTTAGGAATTCCTTTACCGCATTGGAGGAGGCTATTCTATGATTTTGTAGAATCAGTCTCAAAAATGCGCGAAGAGATACACGTTGCTCCTCTCTGTATAGTGTGACAGTTTCACCCTGTAGCTCTCCCGATGCTCTAGGCGACTGCGAGCCTATAGATTTGAGTGAGGACATGGAAGTTTTATGTTTGAGGGTTCCCGGAACAATGAGGTTTCGCGTAGATTGGCCTTCAGTTGTCTCTAGGGTATTGACAGACGATGTGGACGAAGCATCGTCGTCCGGATTTGAACCAATGAATGACGATGATACCGAGGTTTTATTTTTTCTGGGAAGAGGAGGTATGATTTTCCCGGGCAACTCAGTTCGTAGTTTTTTGTGCAATCTCGCAAAATCACCGAAGCGACGGCCAATGTAGATGCTAGGGCCATCTTGTTGCCGGACACGGATTAAGAATTCCTGCACACGACCAATGAGAAAGGAGCAGTTCCAGGGGTACAGGCACAAAAAAAAAGATAATAGTAACACATACCGCATGCTGGTGATATCTCAAGGTTCGCCTTACGGAGGTTGTTCTGACTGATGCGATGTTAACATCCCAGCCATTGATAACATTTCCTTCAGGCATGTTGACAAGTAGCCCCTGTTCATTTGCCCCTCGGTCAACAACCTCCATTTCTGAGAAGCGTATTCTCTCCTCATATCCAGAGGAGGTTGGTATCCCAGAAACCATCATTAGCTCGACCACTTTTTCGCATTTCTTTGCGAGCTTCCGCCTCTTAGTTTCTTCATGTCGATCTTCACTCGACGAAATATTCTTATTAGCAAAAGACTCAAGAAACTAACGTTTGAAAAAGGTAGGGAGTTAGCATATCATGTAAATATATATATATATATAATCGTAGCAAAGCCAGGTGTTAGCTGCTAGACTGGGTAACTCCTTGAACGTACCACCTGGAGACGATCTTGCCAAAACTCCTTCTCATGTGCCTTATCTAGAAATGGAAAATTCCGGATATGGTTAACGAATATATAACGTAGAATTGGCAATTCTGAGTCGACAGGCGCTATTTCTCCAAAGTCCGACTTGAATGGGGCGCCAAATCGTCGTAACGCAGTTGGAGAATTGAGCTCAACGATCTCGCTCGAAACCTGAGCGCCGACTAACTCCCGTTTGAGATCTAAGAGCCATTTGAACCGAATTAGCCAAACCGTAATCTCCGGTCGAGCTGTCTGGTCCAACCTGTGTAGGTAACAGCTTCTGCCGCAGGTACGTACAATGCTCCTGTTTCCCCGTCAATATCTGCGCCGGCGGGTTTCCGCTCTTTTCCGCAGACGTCCCCCCATTTGTATTCTCCTTCGTATTGAGACTCATTATTATCGTAGCTGCTTCAACGTTGCCGTAGTTCTTTGATGCTGAGTGAGGTCGGCGCCTAACCAGGTATTATGCAACAAGTAGGCGTGCTGGGACGGAGCTTCGCGGATAAGGCAGGAAGGCGTGTGAGATCTGGGCCCGAGGAAGCCTGGTATCAAGTTCTCCTGTAAGCCTCGAGGTCCCTGAAAAGAAATGGATGTATAGAGTGCAGCGGTTGTGCCGGCGAAAGGTAGAGGTACTTACGGGGGTAAGCGGTTTAGTTATACCTGCGTCGCGGCCTTAGCTACAGCGTACAGTTGCAACAAGCCACTAAACTCAACGCTAGACGCAAGCCCCAACAGCCGGTATATATGTGAATTCCACTGGAGGCTCTGCCGCCGCGGCCGTAGAAAGATGCGAGGATGTGCTGGCGGCGACGATGCAGCTGGAGGCGTGAAGTTGGCGAGCAAGTCCCTTTTTGAGGCGCACGATGACGACTTGCCGGATCGGGCGCAAACGCCTAAACTCCGAGTTTCGCGCGCTTCACAAACTTACAACATCAACGACAACATCAACATCAACGCCAACGCCAACGCCAACGACAACGACAACGACAGCCCTCCCAACGGCCAACTACGAGCCGGCAGCAACATCCATAGCAACAGGAGCCCCTCGCTCAAACACACTCGAAACTACGCCGTTTGCTTTTTCTATTTAAAGGTCTACTAGGTCTGTTGAAGGATGGGAGTTAACAGCCCAGCTGAAGGTGACGACGCCCTTTCGCCCAAGCCCGCCGGCGTCTGTTCATGTGAGTTGAACAGCACTTTACCCCCTCAGTGTGTGCTCAGCAGCAGCTAACAGACACCAGGCGTCGTAGGGCAGTGACTAATTGCTAGCTCTTGTGGCTGCGCTGATACCGAAGCGCTGCTACCGGCCCACAGCAGACGGGGCCATCCATGTCCCTTGGCAGCTTCTGGTGCTTGCAGAGCCACATCAGATCTCGCGCATGTTACAGAGATTCACACAAAGTGGGTGAAGCAAGGAATACCCAGATCATGGCCAGAGGACGGAGTCCAGTTGCCATAATCATCGGGCGGTTTGAACGGGTGATCGAAGGGTCAGGTGTCTCCATACGAACTACTCTGTAGTTAACTACAGAGTCCTCGACAGCATTAATTTACGCCATAAACACAACATGGCTGTCCACAAAAATTTGTTGAGCAATATATGGAAGGTTATTGCGCAACAAGCCGATAATTCGCCCCGCCAGCGGGGGAATGGTGGTGCAGCGCTACTGCAAACAACATCCTTGCGATCCTACACATGACAACTATGAGTCAGTCGCTGGCAGCTGAAGATGTCGTTTCGTTTCGGCAACTCAAAAGTACGTGGACCAGAATAACGAGCTGAACAATGTTTTACCCCGATGCAGTTATTATTTCACAGAATAACTAGCTACAAAAAACTTATCCGTTGTCGAAATTCAGTTATTATTGCTAACGGATGGAGCACGAGCTGTGCAACGAATAACTAACCTCCTCACCGATCAGTAATGCAGAGAACAATAGCTTAATCCAAAAGTGGAACATTATTGGGCAAGTTTCCAACACCCAACATGTTACCAAAGGCTGAAGAAGTGGTGTTACACGACACGGAGATTCACTTCATCGAACTCTTCATGTTTTTTTTTTCTACCTCGTACTCCGTAACGGTCATCCCAACTAACTGCATGAGCACAGCCATAACATATTGCTACTCTATATAAATATGTCCGCCCAGTGGCTCAATTTGCCTTGGCTCTTTTCCGGACACTCAAGGACCCAGGGCAATGGCTTACTGTGAGGCCTCCTCTGGCCAAACATCATAGCCAAAGGTGTCCTTCATGTTGACGAACCGCGAGTGTCTACCCTCCGACACTTTATTGACAGCCTCAAATTCTTCGTCGGAGAGCTTGATTTCCTTGAAGTTACTCTCGATCCGCTGGGGATTCGAGCTCTTAGGTAAAACCACATACCCTCGTCTCAGCCCCCAGGCTATCAAAACCTGAGCCAAGGTGTGACCGCCCTCCTCCGCGATCTTGTTCAATGTTGGGTTGGTTCCGACCTTTTCACCAGTCGTCGGGACTTGATTCTGGGACCCGAGCGGCGAGTATGCCTGGGGCATAATATTTTTCGAGAAACAAAAGTCGACAAGCTCGGTATTCGGAAGGAATGGGTGGATTTCGATTTGATTGACATGGGGAGGAATTTTGGCGAATGAAAGAATTTGCTTTATACCTGGAATGGTGAAGTTTGAAAGACCGATCGATTTCACCTTACCAGATTCATACGATTCCTCCATTGCCCGCCATGTCGGCTCCGGATTCTCAGTTAAGCCCTTCTTAACCACATACTGTTCGCATAACATTAATCGTTAGATTCTTGGCCTAATCTGCAGCTACTATTCGAAGGAATATCATACCTTGCCGTCGGGGCCGATCTTTGGCATATTCTTGTCATCCTTTTCACAGGCGATCGGCCAGTGAATCAGGAAAAGGTCGACATAGTCCAGTTGGAGATTCTTCAACGAGTTCTCTAAAGACCATGCCACCTCGTCTTTTTCATGCAAATGATTCCAGACCTTGGTGGTGATAAACAAATCGGATCGCTTCACGCTCGTGTTTTCCTTGAGGAAATCCTGGATGGCTTGTCCAATCTCATCCTCGTTCAAATAGAACCAGGCACAGTCCAGATGCCTGTACCCAGTCCGCAGTGCATGCAGAACTGCTTTGTATGCCTCCCCCTTTGATCCTTCGTTGGAAAAGGTACCGAAACCCAACCCCGGAATGGTGACACCGTTACTCAATTTGAAAGTAATATTGCGAGACATTGTATCAAGCAGCCGTTACCAATGCAATGATAAATGCACTATGATTCCCCCCCTGTATTGTTATCCCGAGTGATATCTTTCTTGGGTATGGATAGTCTTCTGTTACCCTTTCTGGAGGATCTTCTTTCAAAAAGGACTGGACAGCTGCAGGACGATGTATTCCTCGAGAAATACCTCAAGGATAAAACGAGACCGTGATTGAACCCTCGAATCCTATTGCCTTTCCGCTGCAATGTGCCCTAGAATTTTTCGTGGTTATGGAGAATCGACTCCGTCCGCCTACAGCTATGACGTATTACGAACTCAATTTTTCCCATTTGCCCTTCTCCTGAAAATAGCGGATACTAGTGGATATATTATGCTTACTATATGCATGTGCTTTGAGACCTCAAACAACCCGGGAGTGGATTCAATGGAGACAGGCGCCCTTGAGCGGTACCCAGAGATAATCGACCTCGTAGCCAACCGGGAGAACAAACACGTCCAATTATTACCAAGACGGGGAGTAAGGTCCACTCGATCGTCGGGGCCTTCGGGCCAGTGGGGAACGTGGAAGAAAACCACCCCTACAACTCGACTCGGACATTAACCGCACCCTCAGTTCATCTTATCCACAGTGCGCAATTGATGTTGGACAAACAACTCGATGTTGTATCAGGCTATCCACTTGGAGAGACACCTTTGATGGACAATTAACCACTGCCAGCGAATTTAGATTTGTTTGGGTCCAATCAGAACCTTTGGTTGCCACATAACGTCACATTATGACATGCAATCGTCGTTTTGAACCATTGCAATGGTTTGCAATAATGTTTATGAGACTACCGCCTGTGAAGATCTCCGAGGGAAAGAAGTCTCTGACTTTTCTCCTCCGCACGAATTTCGGACAAGCCCTTGACAAGTTTCCTTATTCGAATTGGATATATAAATGCTGGCCCCGCCTACAATTGATATCCAAAAATCTGACTGAGCTGGGTCTTTCTTTCACTACCAGTCACTCTTGATTCAAATACTTCCCGCTTGGAAGTATCTACACCTATAACCTTTCCACCATTACCTCTTTCTCCTGCTCAACGTTTCTCTACAACCACCACAGCCATGTCTCAACCTCAGCAGGACACCGAATGGTCGAGGAGGGATAGTGCCGTTAAACGAGGGCAACTCAGCATTCCGTCTGACCAAGGCAACGCAATTGAAGTGAGAGCATTGAGAAGTTCGATCAGCGATGCAGGCTCTCTCATGCATAACCTCAGCCTATCCCCTTCGTTTCAGGATAGACGGGGGTCCCGCAATTCTTTTGGAATGGCTCTGCCCATCCCCAAATCCCCACGAGCTTCGAGACTGTCCGGCTCTCGAGACCCCGCAAGCCTCAAGCGAGATGTGCTTGCTTCACAGATCCAGGACATGGCAAAGGAAAAAGTCGAAGCAGCCAAGAACATGGCATTTGCTTTCGATATTGATGGCGTCCTGGTCCACGGCAAGAAACTTATCCCGGAGGCCGCCAGAGTAATGGAGGTGTTGAATGGAGACAACGAACTCGGAATCAAACTGCCATACATATTGCTGACCAATGGTGGGGGTAAGACCGAGAGTGCCCGAGTGGACGAGCTCTCTGGGATCCTCAAATCACCAATTTCCACCGAGCAGTTCATCCAGTCTCACACTCCCATGCAGGCACTGTCAGAATATTATGACACCGTCCTGGTTTGTGGCGGTGAGGGATTCAAGGTCCGACAAGTAGCCGAAGACTATGGATTCAAGACTGTTGTCCATACCAAGGACATCCAGGCATGGGATCCTACCATCTCCCCCTGGAGCCAGCTATCAGAGGAGGAGGTTAAACAAGCCAAGATACGCGACTTCGACAATTTGAACTTCGATGCCATCATGGTATTTGCCGACTCTAGAGATTACCAAACCGATATGCAAATAATCCTGGATCTCCTCCTCAGTGAAAATGGCCGCCTAAAGACGAAGGCAAAGAACCCTCTTGCCAACCAGATTCCAATCTACTTCTCTCAGGGAGATATAGTCTTCCCTACTGAGCACGCCCTTCCCCGTTTGACTCAAGGAGCCTTCCGCATTGCCATCGAGTCCCAATACAAGACACTAACAGGCGGAGACCTGGAGCGTGTTGTATACGGAAAGCCAGAGCTTGCAACATACAAGTACGCAGACACCGTCATGCAGCAATGGATGAAGGAAATCCACAATGAACACACCCTGCCCAAGAACATCTACATGGTTGGCGACAACCCTCAGTCGGACATCTGCGGCGGCAATATGTACGGCTGGAATACATGTTTGGTCCGCACTGGCGTCTTCAAGGGAGGTGAGAACGACACCAACAATCCCGCCAATTTCGGAGTTTTTGCAAATGTTCTCGAAGCCGTGCAGGCAGCCGTGAAGAAGGAACTTGGGCAAGAGTTCAAACTCAAGTGGCAGGATGAAGAGGTCAACCCTGTCCTCCAGGCCGGTGGAGTCTCCGCAATTGAGTAAGGAGCAGGAAAAGTTTTATGGGTATTTTTTGCTTGCATTTATGCGATTGGTTAAGGTTCTAAACGTCTCCATTTTTTTCCATTTGATACTCGGTTTTTCTTTTTTTCTTTTTGGAGACAAGGCAAAAGTTGTCGGGTCTTTAACGATGGGTTACGGGAAATGTACGGATAAATAGACAAATTCAACCAGGAATTTTTTTGCTTCGATGCGAGAATCTTAAGTCACGGTGATCTCCCTTAAGATGGACTCGAGATCGTTGATCATGGCGATGATACGGAGTACACAGTGTGCATTTTGGTCAGTTTATACGAGCCGTCATGAGCTTGATCCCGGGATTAATAGGCTTTGATATACGGCTGATATGTGGATCATCCTGTCTGCCGCTGATTCCCCGGCAGCTAAAACTGATGACCATTGCTTCCAATCCGTGGAAAGGTGGATTGAATGCGGTGTTCAGAGGCTCGAGAGTCAACCGGGACGCTCTATAACACGGCATTTGGTATGACTCCGGGCCTCTGAGGTACCCTAACTCTCTAACCAAATAACCATGTGGACCAGGTTTTGTGAAGTTAGTTACCCGGGATCAGGGATCGAAAGCACTCCTTCACTGAGAAAATTATCGTCGGTTATTATAACTCATACGGAGTACAGGACGGAAGAGTTGTTTTGCCAGAGATTTGGCGTCTAGGTAGTGTGTTGCGGGCGAAATCAACTATTATGGGCAGTTTTTTATTCAAGTTTGGGTCTATAGGACCCAGACCGCTATAAAGAAGCAGCCTATACATTCTAGTTATATGAGGTAATGTGTTGGGCTAACGTGCACTAGGCAGATCGTGTTCGTGGATATGCGATCTTTTTCGGACAACAGGGTTGCTACACCAGGCTCTCTGTGAATTACGTACTTCAAAACGGTTGACGGTATATCAAAGCTCTCTTTACTGAGAACATTTTCTATAGAGACACTTTGATGCTTAAGGATTTTAACACGCCCCAAGTTTCAAGGTCTCTAAGAGGTTGATAACTAATTGTTTAACTAGCATCGTGCCTCTGGTTAGAGTAGCATGGCTATAGCTCTCTACTTTAATCCAGATGGGAAAGGATATGAATGGGCTTGAACTTAGGGTCAAAGCCGGCTAAGAATCCCTGCATCCCCGCCTAGGGCAAAGAAGCTATCAGTTTGCTTTGTATTGTATAGCTAAATATCACCACATATACCCTGGGTTAATATGTATGGAGGAGGCATGCTGTACCAAGTAATACCTCAGAAAAAGGGGGGAGATGGCTTGCTATAAAGCGGAAAGTGTTCATTAATGCATTAATATTAAGTCCTTGAGGATACACAAAAACGGCAAGAAGACAATGGCAAGCACAAATCTAGATCGCTTGATAATGCAGCTGAAATTGAATTGCAATTAAGAGCAAGTAACAGCATAGGCCACGATGCCCTCCTTTACGAGGTCTTCTCGGTCAGAAGTGGCTTCGCTTATTGGGTCTCCACCGCAGCCGCGGGTTCTATAGATATGTGTTAGGATACTGGGCCTGTTTGTATATATCCTAGAAGGGCAGGACTTACGCATAGAGCTGACAAGTGGTCCCCGTAGCAACTTTCAAGGATCCGATAGGGTTGTTGCTATAATATGTGAGCCTTGGTGGATGACATATAAGTGCTGGGAGGGAAGTTGAACATACTGGTCTGGGATCATATAAGAGCAGATCCCCGGGTTTTCGACGGCCTGCATATATCCCTCAAAATTGGCTAGTTTGTAAATGGTTGCCTATATAATTCAAGTTAGAAGGTACTTCGACAGAAAGTGTTGGATATAAGCTGTGTTCCTACCAATGGTTGTTTATCAACTGGAGCGGCGAAAGAGGCGGGGATGACGGCAAGGGCCAAAGCCACAATCTTGGAGAACTGCATTATTGCTCTGAAGGAGGCTGTTTTGTTTAAAGAATGGTCTTTTGTGTTGAGCAGGGAGAAGATGGTCTTGATTGTTTGGGATTTTGGTTGTTGTATCTGATCAGAGCCAGAGAAGAGCAGGAAGTCGTCTTCTATTTATGCCTTGCCGGAAGAGCACTGCTGCCAAAGTATCGGTGCTGACTCTGCTCATACGCCCGTCGAGCCGCCGGTCATCTGTTGGGCGAGTATCAACGCCCCGAGGTTTCACAGAGAGAAAAAGCAAGCACTGCAGTCAATAGAGGGTAAAGGAGCGAAGGCTGGACGGTTACCTGCTTCGAATCCGCAGTTGTGTCTCAGAGCTCTCCGAGACAGCCCTTCCCACGGAGTACAACCTCCATCCTCCAAAGGCGCTTAGCAATACAACCTCCGAATCGAATTGTACCCCCTCATTCAAATCCGGCGAGGCTTGGAGCAGCTGTGCTGGGGATATCGGTCGCCAATGACGTGGGTTGGCTTGCAGATCGGCAATGCAGCCCAAACAAAGGTGGCAGAGCGCATTGGTCGCATGGGCAGCGGCACTGATCGGCCCGGGATGTACAGATAGTTTCCAAGATTCGATTGGAAGAGCTGCTGGAATCGCGGCTGCAGGGTTACATGCTGCTGCTCCTCCCGCAGCTTGCCATAAATACAAACTGGCTGTGCTTCAAACACCCGATGAAACGGGAATAACCTGTCAGTTTTGTTTATGGCTTGCCGCGGTTTCAAACCATTGAAAACTATCACGAATCACAGGGCCCGAAGCTGAGAAGAAATGTTGGGCGCTTCCAGTGCATATTGCAGCTCATTATCAGACATGTATCCAGAACGTCCAGATTGCCAGCATCACTGCTAAAAATAGCCCGGTCCAGAATAGGAGATTCAGTTGTGCATACTACGATCCCCCTGGTATGCGTGTCTCATTTACATCTAAACTGCTGTTGAGACCTTAAAGTGGCGCAGGCATGGATCATTGCCTGGCCAAAGATATCAAGGCCTTCGAAGCAGTAAATGAGAGACCACCATTGCGACTAGCAGCAAAATACTGCAAGTCATGAAGACCTTGTTTCTGTATCCTCCGCCTTTCTCGGTATTATTTGTTAGCAACGATATCTTGAAACGTGTACGGAGTATGGACTCGTTGACTGAATGATCAGCCTGGAACGCATGTCTCACCTTCTGTAGTGAAGGCCAGGCCGGCAACAACAAAGCAGTTCAGCGGCAATCGAAATAAAGCATATACCCCGGCTCGATCCTTGTCATGGATTAAGACGCTTTTCAGTACACCCATGTTTGGATAATATAACCCAATGCTGAATTCATAGACGCAGAATGCCCAGAGTGTGAGCAGCGTGGTTGGGAATACCACGGCACATGTCAGGCTCATGCTTCCTAAAAATAAAAGGATAGTAAGCAAACAAGAGGATCTGGACACACTGATGCGATTAAAATCGTAAGAAGGAGGGTTTTGTGGCTCTGTAGATGATGATGATGATGATGACGACAATGAAGGAGTTGGCGATGAGTCCTCCCGCGAAGGAGGTGAGACCATCAGCTGAGATGATATCTGAGACCCTAGCATCATGGCAGTCATGAAGCTAGCAAAAATAACCCCGAATGGCGGACTACCAGGGATATCATCATCTTTGCTGGCCGAAATAATCGCAGGCGACCAAAAAACGACGAAAAGATACATGGAACCCTCAGATATCATTGTGATGAATCCTAGTACCATAGTGCGGGTATCTTTAGCCCGAGAGTCAGTTATATAGTTATTTTATGGTAGACATTAAGCACTTGCCCTTGATTATCGTCGATAGCTGAGTACGTCGCCCTTCGGCAGCCTCCGACCCCGAGTTATCACAATCACCGAGATAATTCTCGTTCTAAATAATGGCCCAATATAAGCTTTTATTCTGCTATTACGATAAGGTGTCAATACGTACCCATGTCCCTATAATCAGCAAAGAGGCTAGTAAGAGGCAGACAGGACTTGCAAGGAACGGGGCTCTTCTTGAGCCCGTGATTGAGACTAGGTAATTGCTCAGAAGCCCAGATAACACTGCAACCATTCCACTCAGGACAGTCATCGTTCCTAATAGCTGGTTTAGCTCTGTCGAATCGCTCGCGGCCTTCCTTTGGTGAAATTCAGCAACAAGCCAAGCCTCGAAAACAGTGAAGAGGAGAGTCGTCCCTATACCACCGAGGACTCGCCCAAGGAACAGAATAAGGATATTCGAGGATGAAACTGTCATGATACAGGATAGGCTGTATATCACACAGAATGCGAGGCAGGCTTTTCGACGCCCAAAAACATCAGCAAGCTTGCCAACGAATGAGGCACTGAATGCTCCAGATATGAACCCTGTGGCAAAGAGGGTTGCAATGATATGGTCATGCAGCTGAAGAGTTTCTTTGTATAACGGGAAGAAATAGGGGCCCTGTATGAGTATGGCCCTTGGTCAGAGTGTTATTCAAACGCAAGGCAGCCTTATTAGGGTTGTGTCGAGAGAGTTAAATGAGAAATGGTATCCAACCTGCATCCAGTCTGAAGCCATTGCAAGCACATAAACAGGAAGAAAAATCAGGGCAAGTCCTTTGCTATTCTGCCGATCATGAGCTTGACCCCTGAATAACCCAGAAACGCTGCTGGTCAGTTCCCGCAGGCTTGCTCTTCCTTCATTATCGTTGATACGATAGGATGCGAGGGCCACATTGGCTAGTATTAGAGTGACTAGGGTGCCAGTATATATATCCATGATACACATCCTCGCCTCAACCGTCTGCCTGATAGTGTTGGGCCAGTATGATGTGCTCACAAGAACATTAACACGGTAAGGGGTATCTTATATATATATTGGTATGAATCTGATGTTGCTATACCGCTAGCCTTGGTTGAAGGGTATATAAGGAATTTCACCAAGTTTGATGTCTTCTTGTTGACGTTTGGGAGTTTCTGGCTCCAAAGGTTGCCAGCAGCAAGCAGTGACACGTGACTGTTTAGCTTCCAAGGTTCCTCGATCTATATAAACCGATGGAACGAGATATATATTTGGACGGTGATAGCGGTGCTTCTAGTGACAAAAGAAAAGAAGATTGAAGTTGAGGAGCAAGAAATCATTTGTGGAGCCTTGATATTCACACGGCTGCTAAAATCTATATGTCTATGTGTTCTTATCTTTGGACTGCTGTCTTCTCAATCTTGCTCCTTCATAGGCGTATATTCCACCGCCTAGGAACACTAATATGGCACCAGCAAGTACCCCAAATGTAAGGACATTGCCAAAAAGATACACAGAAAGAATCAATGACACGAGCTTGCGGATGTTCAGCACAATAACCACAGTTAGAGAGGATGTCTTTGCCGATAGAAGATAAACGCCACGAATGCAAAGGTATTGCGTCAATCCGTTAAGAAGAAGATAGGATATTTTGATCGGGACCATGGAAAGTATGGGCTGTGTCGATGGGTGGCTGGCCAGAAGATGTAAGAGCGGCATCACCGGTGCGAGGAATTGTTGGGATGGGCTTTCGGAAGTAGACGCAGTAGCGGAGCTAGCTTTGATAACACTGCTGACAGATGCGGACGCTAGTAGAGATTTCAACTGAGGGTATAGCTGAGGATATGAAGGAAGTAAAAATGGTATGGACAAGGCATGTGAATAGAACAAGCCCTCTCGCCAGTTGTCGCGGCCATATTTCTGGTATAACCAATCCGCATATACTCCCTGGAAGGCAGCTAATACCATTGCCAGTCCAAGAATCATAAACCCTGCTAAGGTCATAAACAGAGAAGACCCTTCGCTAGCCGCCAGCCCAAGATCCAAGGATTTACCTTTTGCGCTTGCATCGGCAATGGCTGCGGCTACAACACCTGCCGACAGAATTGTAACCGAGATAACTTGCATGGGTGTGTATCTCCTTGAGTTGTATAGATATCCGACAACCATTGAAGCAACCGGACCACCGCTTCTAACAATGATGTGAAGAGGCACTGAAATCTTGAAGATAAATGCAGCATTATTGAGTAAGTTCACCGACATAAAAAATGCAGTGTATATAGCCCATGATTTCAAAGGGATGGCTGGTTTCGAAATGAAGAGAGATTTGAGTCCAGCGGCGGGAGACAGGATAGTCGGAAGTGTAAGGAGTGCGATGATCACAAATTGTGCGAAGGTAATAAGGGTCCCTATTTCATATTATTGGTACCTGCACGTATTGACAAGGAAGTAGAGCCTTACATACCATGGTTAGGGTCATCTCTACAAATGATAGCCCAAATATCAGCATTCGAAATCTATAGTGACTTGGTTCATCTCCAAGGCAACTCACTGTATCAGAGCCTCAAGGGCAAACACCTATCTTCCTGTTAGCGCCTGAAATTGAATACACAAGCAGCAAATTTGACATACGTTTGAGCAACATCCTCCGAATATGAATGCCGTGATAATCACAATATTCAGCCAGGCAGGCACTGTTGATTGCACAATCGCAGATGCCACAGCGGTCGGGTTATGGTCCTTCCTACCCAATGATTGCGATTTCGCTACATCGTTTCGTTTGGTAGTTTTTTCAAGTGTCGTAGAACCTGGCACGGCATTGGATCGGCGATTTAATTGAGAACCCTGCGGTTCTTCTCGCCTTCCAGTCATGGGCTGCCTACGGTGAAGGAATTAACCTGGGTGATTGGCTGCGGTTAGGATAATGAACGGTACAAGAGGAGATTCTAATGGCCCGACACCCTTCATACCTGCTAGAATAAATTCTGCCCATATACAGTGACTATTTGAGTGACACATTCAGGGTTATTGCATCGGTTATCGCTTCGGTGTCTTGAGGTCGCATTTTTAAGATAACGGGAACGGAAAAACTTATCATCTTATCTTATCTTATCTTCAGATCTTGATCTTATCTCCGAGGTTCCTGAGCCTCAGGTTGGGCGGTTTACCAGCTGCATAAAGGTCGGAAATTTATCATATAATCGAGATGAAGTGAGCACTGGTAGTAGGGCATAATGCATCCAAAATTTCTATTAAAAGCTTATATATCATGTCCTTGAGGGGACGCACAGAAACAACAAAAAGGGCTTAATCATCCTCAATATCATCATCGCTCAGAATGAGTTTATCCACCCCTTGTTCAACAGCAGGTAAGCCTGTAATACTGGATGTGGCCAGTGTTGGTTGCCACACTCGATTTTTGTTAAAAGGACCTATAGTTGGAACAGAAGGGGTATTATGGCCAGGTTGAAAATCATCCTCTTCAACTTCTTGGCTCCGCCTTATCATGCCCTTGGGTTGCGTTACTCTTTCTATTTCCTTTCGTTCAGTGATGTCTTTGGATATAAGTCTCATATAAGGAAGCCGCTCCAAGACGACTTCATCACGAGATATCATGCACCTTGTCATGCCCTGGCTGCTAGGCCCACTTTCTTTCTGAGTGTGTGGCTGCCGAGCACGAGCACGGATTCCCCAAGATTCAACCCCTTCGGTCCGCTGAGGCACTGTATCAGTAGTGCTTATATCTGTACAGCCTGTTGTTATACGTTGCATCCAAAGGGCAATTAGCCCATCCACTTCTTCAGCTTGTCGCCATAGCTTTATTGAGGAAGGGTAGAACATTTTATGCGCATCCGGCCCGCGTCTGTTGACTGGATAAGGAAGATGATATAAGAGCCCTCGCGAAGCAACCTGGAAGCTAATTTCATCCTGACGTAGTATATCGATTCCAGTTCCGGCTCCTTGGAATGCAACGCGTCCAGACCCAATCCCTCGGGTTGATTGGGCATTCCGACGATTTCCAATTCCCAGGATATCTGCAGCAGAAAGTTGTTCTGAACAGTCATCCAAGGATTCGGTGAATAAATCGCCATGACAAGATGGAGGATAATTTTCATGCAATGCAGACAAAAAAGTCTGGATATCTGTTCCGGTTTCGTTAATTAGGTCCTCAACAGAAACTTGAGACACTAGGTCATGGTGATCTCCAAGTTGTGAAGGGGGTTTCCTAGCTCGTAAACCAGTGCGCGCTGGAGGCGCAGGGCTCGGTTCCTCCCTTTTATTGTACATTATTTTACCAACCGCGTGGAAAATCCCCAGACTGGCCTCCCTCTGAGTAACCATTTGAAGAGTTTCCGCCTCCATTGCTGTAGGTGGAACGGCGGTTTTACCCGAGCGTTTCGGGCGACTGTTTAGCATTCCACTATATCCTTCATAGTCGCCGCCCTGAAGACAGATAAACTCTAGTGAGGAAATAGCACTGCGGACATCTCCCATTTCTGCGAGCCGCTTGAGGACTGCAGGTCCCGGGATACGCTTTCGGTGAGATAAGCGTGCTTCTTTCTTTAGCACAAGGTCCAAAGCTTTGGTGAGAAATGTAGGTGCAATTGGGTTGAATTCAATAATGCTGACTCCCGGGTGATTGGATAGCTCTGGTCCTAGTAGACGATGAACGGTAAAACTATCGGAAAGGGAAGTACCATCTCCTAGTAACGTCTCAGAAACAATGATAACAACTGGGGTATTTGGGGTTTCCGTTGGACGAGCTGCTATCCTAGCGGCAATAGAAGGGAATGAGGAGGCGGCATGGCGCAAAAGCGCAGACCGGAATGCTGTTAACCCAGGTGATCCAGGGCTAAGGGATGAAGGAAACTCTTCCACAAGCATTATGCGCCGTTTAGAAGATTGCAACGCGGTACTGCTACTAGAAATCGAC